CCTTTTTCTCCCCAACCTTCTCCTTTTTTCTCCCCAGGATCGTTTTGATCTTCCCCTTTCCCGTTTCCCCCGGAGTTCCAGCACCACCTCTGCGCGTCCTTGCCGAGCTCCCCAAAATCCCAACGGCTTCTCCACCTCCCTGGCGGCCGCTGAGCTTCCAGGGGTTCACCGGGGGGATGGGGCCGGGATCCCCCAGATTTCCCGGGAATGTGGGGAGCAGCTCCCGCTCGGAGCGGGGATGAAAGGGAAAGGTCCTGCGAGCTCCAGGGCGATCAAAGGGAGCCTCATCTCTTTTAATGAGGCTCCTGCAGCCTTCCAGAAGCTTCGCAGGGAGGAAGGGGCTTGGTGGAGATCAAAGCCCTGCGTGAGGAGCTGGGGAGGGCTGGGAGAGGGAGAGGAAGGGAGCGAGGGATGGGAATAAAAAGATGGAGAGGCTGGAGATGCGGATCTGAGGGATCCACCGGAGATTCCCGGTGCCTGGGAAGGAGCTGAGCGCCCGGGGGATGCGGGCAGAGCCACCAGAGCTGCCCAGGAATGTCCCCCACGGCCAAATTCGGTGCTTTTCCCATCGTGCTGCTCCCAAATCTGGGAATAGGGGGCTCGGGATGGACACGGACACATGTCCCCACTTGTCCCCAGGAAGGGACGACCAAAATTCCCCCCCGCAAATCCCCAAATCCAGCGCCAAATCCCAGCTCCTGGGGGACACCAAAGGCAGGAGCAGGGCCTGGGGCGGTCCCCAGGATGGGATTTCCCCCCCAGCAGGAAAATATCCACCAGGAAAAGGACAAAGGTGCAGCTCCCGGGGAGAATCCGGAGCCCCGATCCCTCCCCAGCTCCTGGCGGAGATCAAATCCCGTTTTCTTTTAGGAAGGATTTATCACGTTTGGTTTGAGAGCACTGAGGAAGATTCCCAGTTTGGAGAAGGCTCTGGATTCATGTCCCGAGCTTGGGAACATCATAACGAGGAACTGCAAACAGAGCCATGAGGAGAAGTGATCCCACTGCTTTTCCAGGGCCAGGAATTCCAGGATGACGCCTGGCAGGGAATCCCAGAGTCCTGCTGCCCCTTGGGATGCAGGAAAATCCCAGGGACTGCTGGAGAGATGGAGATTCCTTGGGCTCTTGTAATTTAAGGCTTTTATTTTATTTCCAGAGGAGGGAAAAGGGGATGAATCCCAGCACTGCTGCAGGGCAGACACTCCAAGGCCATGGAATAAAGCAATTCCCAGCTGCTGATCCATCAGGCCTTTTCCCGGGAATGGCTCAGCAGCAGCTCAACCCAGCAGGGAGGGATGAGGAACAAACACCCCCAGGGAAAGGTGGGAAATGCTGGAGAGGGGCTGGGAAGTGTGGGAAAGGGGGTGCCCCACACGGGGATCTGCTGTGTCCCTGCCTGGGAATATCCCAGGGGACCTCTGGGAATTCCAGGGCTTCAGCACAGAATGGTTTGGGTTGGAAAGGATCTCCAAACCCCTCTCATTCCATGGGCAGCGACACCTCCCGCTGTCCCAGGCTGCTCCAAGCTGGCCTTGGACACTTCCAGGAATTCCATCCCAGCCAGGAATCCCTTCCCAAAATCCCATCCCAATCTCTTCTTTCCCACTATGAAGCCATTCCCTGTGTCCTGTCCCTCCATCCTTGTCCCCAGTCCCTCTCCAGCTCTCCTGGAGCCCCTTCAGGCCCTGGAAGGGCTCTGAGCTCTCCCTGGAGTTTCTCTTCCTGCTGCCGCCAGCTCCGTTATTCCCATTATTCCCGCACCCAGCGGCTCCTGGAAAAAATTAAATCCCAATTGCTGCGAGCTTGTAACTGCGGGTCGTTAATTAGGGAGCCGTAATTGGATACAGCGCTGCCTGTAAATCCAATTACCTGGGATTAGCGGCGTGCTGGGGATACGGTCCTTCCCTTTCCTTAAACTTTATCCCGCTCCTTTTCTCCCGAGGAAAGCTGGGAAGGTCTCCAGCTCCTTATGACAACCCCAAATTCCCCCCAAAATCCTTCTCCCAATCCCTTTTCCCATCCCAGGGAGGCTGCCAGAGCTGCCCAGACCCATAAATATTAAATAATATTTATTTTAAAATATATATATTTAACTACATGGAACAATCATCCACAGATAAAACCTGGAATCGTTTCCCAAGGAGAACGAGGGAATTCCGGCTCTGTTTTTATGGCGTTTTGGGTTATAAAGTTCTGGAGTCTCCTGGAAACTGGAGCAAAGGCTTGGAGGAGGGGATTTGGGATTGTTTTAGGGAAGGGAACTGAAAAGGGGGAAAAGAAAGGGGGAAAGGGGGGAAGGGAAGGGGAAAAAGGTGAGGAAAGGGAAGGGAGGAAAAGGGGGAAAGGAAAGGGGAAAAAAGGGGGAAAGGAAAGGGAAAAGGGGGGAAGGGGAAAAAAGGGAGAAAGGAAAGGGAAAAGGGGGGAAAGGAAAGGGGAAAAAGGGGGAAAGGGGAAAAAAGGGGGAAAGGAAAGGGAAAAAAGGGGGAAGGGAAGGGAGGAAAAGGGGGGAAAGGAGGAAAGGAAAGGAAAGGAAAGGAAAGGAAAGGAAAGGAAAGGAAAGGAAAGGAAAGGAAAGGAAAGGAAAGGAAAGGAAAGGAAAGGAAAGGAAAGGAAAGGAAAGGAAAAGGAAAGGAAAGGAAAGGAAAGGAAAGGAAAGGAAAGGAAAGGAAAGGAAAGGAAAGGAAGGAAAGGAAAGGAAAGGAAAGGAAAGGAAAGGAAAGGAAAGGAAAGGAAGGAAAGGAAAGGAAAGGAAGGAAAGGAAAGGAAAGGAAAGGAAAGGCCAGATCCGAGCCCAGGAGGAGCAGAGGGAAGCTCAGCCCCGCTGAATTCTCCCCTCGCCCCAAATGCCTCTTTGGGAACCCAAAGCCCACCCGGGGGTGCTGATGCCGTGTTCCAGAGCCCCAAAACTCGGGGCCGGGCAGGCTCCGGCCGGCCGCGGGTGAGCCGTGCCCGGGCTGCTGCTGCCCTCTGCCGCGGGGAGCTCTGCCAGGGAATTCTTCCCTCCTCCCGGGAAAAAACTCCATTTCCTGCCGGGATTGAGCCGCTCAGGGCGGGATCCAGGGTAGGGATTCTCTGGGATCCAGGGTCGGGATTCTCCGGGATCCAGGGTCGGGATTCTCTGGGATCAGGAACTGGGAATGGAATATGAAATTTGGGCATGGAGTGTGAAATTGGGGCCTGGAATGTGAAATTTGGGAATGGAATGTGGAAATCTGGGCCTGGAATGTAAAATTGGGGTCTGGAATGTGGGAACTGGGGAATGGAATGTGAAATCCTTGCTGTAAGTCCTCTATTCCGTCTGGAACCCCATTGCTCCCCCTGGAACTCCTTTCTTCCACCTGGAACCCCTTTATTCCACCTGGAACCCCATTATTCCATCTGTAACCCCTCTATTCCACTTGTAACCCCTTTATTCCCCCTGAAACCCCTTTATTCCCCCTGAAACCCCATTATTCCACCTGGATCCACATTATTCCACCTGTAACCTCTTTATTCCACCTGGAATCCTTGCTGTAAATCCTCTATTCCCCCTGTAACCCCATTATTCCCCCTATAACCCCATTATTCCCCCTGTAACCCCATTATTCCCCCTGTAACCCCATTATTCCCCCTGTAACCCCACTATTCCCCTGGAATCCCTGCTGTAACCCCATTATTCCCCCCGAAGGCAGCAGCTGTCCCCTCTCCCCTCAGGGTGACCCTCCCCATCCCTCCCCGCATCCCGCCGGTTGCCGTGGCAACGCTTTGGGAAGAAGGGAGGTTCATTATCAGTTTCTCTACGGAATTAAAAAAAAAAAAATTAAAAAAAAAATACCCTTGGATGAAATGTTGTTTTCTCCCCGCTGCCTGAAATGTCCCGGATTTGTCCCTGACCCTTTGGTGTTTGTGGATTATCCGGGGCCGCTTCCCAAAGTGAATTTTCCTGCTGTTCTTAGGGATTATGGGAATCCCCAACATCAATTCATCCCGAATAAAGCACAGAGAGATGGAAAAAATCTCCTCCGGGCAATTCCCAAGGCTCCAGGAACGCGTGAATTGTTAATTAAACAGCAATCTGCTGTTTCCAAGGGAAAAAAAACTCCTGGGATCAATCCTGCTGAGCAATTCCAGGGAGAAGCAGAGCTCCAGGACACGCAGGATGAATCCCAAAAAAGCAGAGCGGGTTTCTGAGTCAGGAATGTGAGAAAACCGGGAAGGAAATGTCAAACAAATCACATATTCCCTTTTTTTCTTTTTTTTTTTTCCCATTTTTTTGTGGCTCTGCCAAGGCCCCTTCCCACACAGGCCAATCCTCCTCCTTCCCGAGTTTTTTGGGATCCCTTCCCACCGTGCTGGATGAGACTCCAGGAATCCTCCACAGCTTTTTAAAAGTCCCTTTTCCAGGAGTGGGAAAAATCTGATAAATGTTGGAAATACAAAACCCATTTGCAAGGAGATTTCTCTGATGGCAGCAGAGCAAAGCTGATCGTTATCAGTGAAAAACCAAGGGGGGGGGGGGAAAAAAGCACCTGAAATTAATTTAAATAAATTACACAGATCAACTTCTGTGGAAAAAAAAAATCCAGGCAAAAAAGCACCTGAAATAATTTAATTTAATTAAACAGATCAACAGTGTTCTAGTGCTAAGATAAGAGGAAATATTGGTGTTCAGGAGCCCAAAATTCCCATTTTTACCCCAGAACAATTCCCCCATTCAGGTGCTGCCAGGTCAAGCCTTGTCCAGAAAAGTTTTGGCAAGAGCTCTTGGGAAAGGTCAGAGCTGCTGTTTGGGCTGTTTCAAGGTAAATTTCCACCTCTTTTTTTATTGTTTTGTTTTGTTTTTTAAGAGATAAAAGAAGAGAATTGTTCCTTTTTCCCTGCTAAAATCATCTTTTACCAGCAGCAATTCCAAACCACGGAGCACAAACTCTTGGAGATAATTAAACCAAATTAAAGGCGATTTTTTTTTTTTTTTGGACCATGAATGAGCTGCAATAAATGCACCAAGAGGCGGAGGAAAATCAGATTTTACTGCAAGAACTTTATTGCACCACGTTCAAGTGCTGAGCCAGGAGCTGTGGCTGGGGCACAGTGCCACCCCCAGCTCGTGGGGACACCGGGACAATCTGCATTTCCCCCACTAATTAAGGCCGGATATGATAATTAGGATATTATAAATCAAGAGGGGAATTAGGGGAGTAGAGGGAAGAACGGGAAGTTATACACGGAGCATTTAAAATTTGGTTTATTGTTCTAAATTGGGGTTTTTCATCCAGTTCAGCACCTCCCCCTCGAATCTGACTTCCAGAATTTGTCATATCGGTTTTAAAACCAGGATACCTTTGGCTAAAAATTCTATTTTTCTTTGCAGAAAAATTCATTTTAAAATGTGATTTCAGCACCATTTCCCTCCCATTCCCCAGTGCAGCACCCACCCCAAAAAACACTTCCAGGTCTCCTTGATCCATGGAAAAATTTGGAATATTCCACAGGGAGGAGAGAATTCAGCACAACCTGGAGGTTTGGGGAGGGGCTTTGACAAGTACTGATATTTTCTGGTTTAATTTATAAAATCTCTGCCAAGGGTTGGAATTCCTAAAATCCATTCCCTGAATTCTGGAAAGGCTCCCAAAGGAGTTTGGAAAAGGGAGAAATCCTGGGAAAGGAGGATGAGGAAGGGATGGGGAGAGGCCTCAGCTGCAGGTACAGCCCAACAACCTAAAATTCCAAATATCCTGAGGGAAAAGGGCCCTAAACCTGGATCCAAACCCTTCCAAGGTTGGGTATTATGGAAAAAATATGGATATTATGGGGAAAAAAAATATGGATATTATGGAAAATTACCCATGAGAAGGTGCAAGATCATCCCTGGGGCAGCCAAAATCAAAAATGGGTCTGGTAGGAGCAGCCTGGCCAAAATTGATCCTAAAATCCCTTCATTTGTTCCCTGGCAGCCCCAAAAAAATCCAAATTTTTATGGTTTGCTGATGAAGGGTGTCGGGATTTTGGGGTGGAATTTGGGATTCTCCCTCCCAAAAAACCCAATAAAAAGGAAGAAGGCAATTAAAGGTTCAGCTGAGAAAATTCCCCCTCACACCAAGTCAGGCCCTCCCTGAAAATCTGAATTTCCTGGCTCAGCAAGGTGGATCCAAAGCCTTCCAATTTAGGGTATTGTGGAAAAAAATATGGATATTATGGGAAAAATATCCAATAAAAGGTGTACAAGGTAACCCCTGGGCAGCCAAAATCAAAAATGGGTCTGGTAGGAGCAGCCTGACCAAAATTGCTCCTAAAATCCTTCAGTTCATTCCCTGGCAGCCCCACAAAAAATCTCCAAAAATCAAAATTTTTACCGTTTGCTGATGAAGGGTGTCGGGATTTTGGGGTGGAATTTGGGATTCTCCCTCCCAAAAACCCCAATAAAAAAGAAGAAGGCAATCAAAGGTTCAGCTGAGAAAATTCCCCCTCACACCAAGTCAGGCCCTCCCTGAAAATCCCAATTTTTCCTGGCTCAGCAAGGCTGGGAATGTGGACAGCAGCAAAAAAATTTTAAAAAAAAGCACCTTTTCCATCTTTCTGACAGAGAAATTAATTTTAAATCCTTGTCCGAATCGCCCTTTGCTCACCCAGGACACTTTGGAACATCAGTCTTGTGTGCCAGGATGGATTTTCTGTCTAAAAATTAACATTTCAGCCGAATTCTTTTGGGGAAAAAAATCACTGAGACACACAGGGAATCACACACACACTCCCAAAAACAGATTCACCACAGGGTTTAGGCAGTGAGGGTCCTGTCCAAGCCCCCCAGGAGACAAAATTCCATGGAAAACATCCCCAAAAAAAATTGGGATGTGCCCAAAAAGGGGCTTAAGGCTGTCGAGGCTGTTCCCAGTCAGCTCCTCCTCGTTAAAAACAACAAAAAAATCTCTTTTTTTTAAAGAGTTTAAAAAGGAATTCACATCTCAGGAATTCACAGTCCTGACCCGGGGGATGTTTTTTTCTCACCTTTCTGCACAAGGAAATGCTCTGCTGCTTTTCCTTAGACATAAAGTTGACTTTATTTCTTTTCTTAAAAAGTTAAAAATACAGAAGGTTCAGAAACTGCTTTTCTCCTTGCAGGTTGCAGCTTAAGGAGAAAACAATCCTTCACTGAAATGTTTCTCTTAATTGGCTTTTTTATTATTATTATAATTATTATTATTATTATATATTTTTCTAATTTTGGGTTGGTGTTTTTTTTTTTTCTCTCAATCATCATCACCTTTTTTTTTGGTTTTTTTTGGTTTTTTTGTTAAGGACAGAGGTTGAGGAGTGCTGACTCCACCACTAATTTAATCACTTTTTTTTTTTACTTTTTTTTTTTTACTTTTTTTTTTGATTCCAGATTCACATTTTCAGGTGCCAAGAGTCCAGAGAAGAGCCCCCCGCTCACTTCTGCCTTCCTTTTGAGATCAATAATTTGATTTTTGGTGTTTATTTATTGAACACAGCAGTGACCGTTGGCGTCTTTGAAGCGTAATCTCATTTTGGGCCGGTATTTCTCCAGATAAAGCAGCTGTTTGGAATTGAAAGCTCCCCTCCTTTTCCTAAAAAATAAAATCAAAGAAATTGGATATAAATTGAAAAAAAGCAACTTTTTGTTCACTTCTGGCAGATTAATTGCTTTTTAGTTTTAATTTTTATTCGTTTTAGTGAGTTTTTTAGGGCTAAAAAAGCAGAATTTTGGTGGGAATTTTTTATCCTCTACCCCCAAGAGGATAAACCCACGGGAAAACAAAAATTTATTTGATAAATAAAATATTTCAGGGGAATATTCAGATCAAATTCCAGCTTTTTTGTTGTTGTTGTTTTCATGGAGTAGGAGATTTTTAGCTCAGATAATTCAAAATATTTGGGCTTTTTCTTCACATTTAAACCCACATTTTAAAGGAGAGATCACCTGTTAATCCTCATTAATTAATAGTGATTTCTGTACTCCCATCCTTGATACTTTTACCTCACAAAAATCAAAATATTTCAGCTTTTTCTTCACATTTAAACACACATTTTAAAGGAGAGATCACCTGTTAATCCTCTTTAATCAGAATCAATTTTTAAAGTCTCATCCTAGACACTTTTACCTCACAAAAATCAAAAATTTGGAGCCTTTTCTTCATATTTAAACCCAGATTTTAAGGAGCAAGATCACCTGCTATTCCTCTTTAATTAGAATAAATTTTTGTACTCCCGTCCCAGACAATTTTACCTCAGAAAAATCGAAATATTTGAGCTTTTTCTTCACATTTAAACCCAGATTTTAACAAGATATTATTTATTTTAGCATAAAACTCCTAAAAAAAACCCCAAATATCTTCCTCAACAGGCTCAGGCAGGTGAAAAACCACCGAATAGATTCCTGGGAGGGTAAAAAATACAAAATAAATTGAATTTTCACTTACTGCCTTATAAACTGAACTGCATCCTCATACTTCATTCCACATTCAATGAGAGCAAGAGCGACCAGAACGGGAGCCCTGCAGGAGAAAAAAAAATCAATTTTTAAGGAAAAATCCCCCGGAAATAATAAATGGAATCCTTCAAAATTCATCCAATTCCTCTCCCAAACAAGCAGCTGAAGGGTTTATTATTTTTTATTTCTTGTTTCGCCCGATGTAAAATGATTTTTTTTTTTTTTTGAAGGGATTTTGCTTCCAAAGGAAATAAAAATCAATAGCAGCTCTTTAGTGGTTGGGGTATGAGAATAATTGTGGATTTTTCAGCTCGTTTTCTGGGTTTTGACATCTCCTGAATAATTTTGAGGGTGGATTGAGCTATGGGTTTGGAGATATTTATATATATTTTTATTTTTTAAGTAATTTTGGCAAGGAGCAGGGATAAATATTATAAATAAATAAAATTAATAATTTATTTAATATAGATAAACATCAACTAATAAAAATAAATAATACATTTAATAGCAACACTATAATAACGATTAAATGTATTATTATTAAATTCACTATTATTAAATTTATTCTGATTTAAGCCAATTAACAGCACTGACCTGCCCAGCCCCGCCACGCAGTGCACAGCCACGCAGCACCCGGGCTCCTCCCGAAATTTGCTTTTCAAGAGGTTCAGCCAATCCTCCACGATCTGTCCCGGGGGAGGTGCTCCATCATCAAAGGGCCAGTCCTGAGGGGAAAAATCCCAACAATTCCATGAAATCCACAGCCACCAAAATCCTGGAGTTAGCAACAAAAAAAAAAAAAAAAAAAAGTCATAAACACAATTTTGTTGTTTTTTTTTTTTCCTGGAGTTTCAGGTCGATGTAATGCAACGTGAAATGTTTAATAATCATGTGGTTGCACTTTGCTGTGAACTCTGCAATAAACTGTTTTTTTTACAGAAATCCTTGTCTTCAAAATCCCATTTTATTAAAAAAAAAAGTGAAAATCAATAGGCATTTTCAGCTAAAAATGCCTGTTTTTAGGGGGAGAGAGGAGAACTCTGCAGAGCTCTGCTGGTGGTCGTGGCATCCTTTGAAAATCCCATTTGTGCTTCAGGCGAAAATTCCCAAAATGCTCCTGAAAATTCCCAATTCCAGAGGAGCTGCCAGGAATTCAGGGAGCTCCCAATCACCTGGGTGCTTTTGATTTGAAACAATACCAAAAAAACCCCACTCTTATGAGCAGAAAAATGCTCAAATAATGGGAAAAAGTCACATTTCTTGCTGTTGGAAGGGCAGTATTATTGATATTATTGATATCAATGATAGCAACATTATTAATATAATAATAGTATTAATTATTATGATAATAATAAATAAAATTATGCATTAATGTTAATATTATAGTTATTAATATAATGGTAATATTAACATTATCAATATTGTTGATATTATTAATATCAATAATCAAAAATGCCACAGAAGCGTCTTCCCATTTTTCCTCACACAATTTTCTTGGAATTTGTGCTTCACATCTTTCCTTTCAGGCCCAAGCACATCATCTCATAATTTATAATTTTCTTGGGTGTGGGGAGTGCTGGAGAAAGGATGTAAAAGGGAAAAAAAAATAATAATAGTAATTATTTAGCACTTTTCTTTAGATGACTGTGATGTATTTTAGCAGCAAAACTCCTGGCAGGGTCCTGGATTATTCCAGCACCTCTGAAAATGGAAGGAAATTGGTTTAAAAAAGATCCCTCTCTCCTCATCAGGACAAAAAAATCTCTTTTCTGGAGCACTTTGAGAATAGGTTCTGATGAAATAAAATCCTCTGAAACCCAAATTTTCATTCTGAGATGCACTCAGCACTTCCTGCCAGAAATGTCCTGCCAGGTGAGAGCTGAGCCTGAAAGCTACAAAAACCCCAAGAAAACCGAAATATTTTTATATGGGATTAATTCACTGAGCCTAAAGAGCGCAGAAAAGTCCTTTGTTAAAATACTTGGAAAATTAAAAATATCTGGGACAACACAGCAAAGGGAAAGGCCACGGGGATAAGATCAGAAATCGAAATTTGTTCTTTCTAATAAAAGGTTTTTTTTATGGGATTTTCCACCCGGTCCCACAGGGCTGCCTGGGTTATTTTAGGCAGGGTGCTGCTATTGAAAGAGGATTTTCTGTGCTTAATTGAAATTAAATCTTTTTATTTCGTATCCACACAACTCCTGAATCCATCCCAGCGCTGATAAAACACAGGAACAAAATAATTCTGGCAGCAGAGAAGTTTTGTAGGGTTTTTTTTTCTTACTTTGAGCTCTGGGTTCCTGTTGGGACAGGACAGAAAAGCAAATTCTGCACAATGAAAGCAGGATTGCACAAAGGGGGAGAGGCAGGAAAGGGATTTATCCTCTTTCCCCTTTTATTTTATTTTTTTTTTGGAATAGCAAAACACCTCCAGGAATGGCAACCCAGGTGGTGAAGCGACAGAATTTTCAGCTGATAAAGAATTTTTTCCTTGAAAATACTGGAAATTAGGAACTGCCTGGATCTGTGAAGGGTGAGCTCCACAGCTTCCAATTCCAAGGAATTCCAAGCAAGGAATTCCCACCTGCCTGCGCCATCCTGGTGCTGGCACTTGTAGGGCACAGAGGGGAAAAAAAAAAAAATCTGATTTAATAAATCAAGGAGTGTGAAAAGGACAATTAGGAAAAATATCCCTCAGAGAGGAAAAAAACATCGCAGCATCTCTGGAAGCCAAAAAGTGCCAAAAATCCTCTCAGGAAAAAAATACTGAATATGAACAAGGCACCATAGCTGCTCTAGAAGCCAAAAAGTGCCAAAAATCCCCTCAAAAAAATTTTACTGAAGGTGAACAAAGCAACAACAGCACCTCTGGAAGGCAAAAAGTGCCAAAAAGCGCCAAAAATTCTCTCAGAAAAAAAATACTGAATATGAACAAGGCACCATAGCACCTCTGGAAGCCAAAAAGTGACAAAAATCCCTTCAGAAAAAAAATACTGAAGGTGAACAAAGCAACAACAGCAAATCTGGAAGCCAAAAAGTGCCAAAAAGCCAAAAAGTGCCAAAAATCCCCTCAGAAAAAAATTATTGAAGGTGAAAAAAGGCACCACAGCACCTCTGGAAGCCAAAAAGTGCCCAAAATCCCCTCAGAAAAAAATTATTGAAGGTGAAAAAAGGCACCACAGCACCTCTGGAAGCCAAAAAGTGCCAAAAATCCCCTCAGAAAAAAATTATTGAAGGTGAAAAAAGGCACCACAGCACCTCTGGAAGCCAAAAAGTGCCAAAAATCCCCTCAGAAAAAAATTATTGAAGGTGAAAAAAGGCACCACAGCACCTCTGGAAGCCAAAAAGTGCCAAAAATCCCCTCAGAAAAAAAATACTGAAGGTGAACAAAGCAACAACAGCAAATCTGGAAGCCAAAAAGTGCCAAAAAGCCAAAAAGTGCCAAAAATCCCCTCAGAAAAAAATTATTGAAGGTGAAAAAAGGCACCACAGCACCTCTGGAAGCCAAAAAGTGCCAAAAATCCCCTCAGAAAAAAATTATTGAAGGTGAAAAAAGGCACCACAGCACCTCTGGAAGCCAAAAAGTGCCAAAAATCCCCTCAGAAAAAAAATACTGAAGGTGAACAAAGCAACAACAGCAAATCTGGAAGCCAAAAAGTGACAAAAAGCCAAAAAGTGCCAAAAATCCCCTCAGAAAAAAATTATTGAAGGTGAAAAAAGGCACCACAGCACCTCTGGAAGCCAAAAAGTGCCAAAAATCCCCTCAGAAAAAAAATACTGAAGGTGAACAAAGCAACAACAGCAAATCTGGAAGCCAAAAAGTGCCAAAAATCCCCTCAGAAAAAAATTATTGAAGGTGAAAAAAGGCACCACAGCACCTCTGGAAGCCAAAAAGTGCCAAAAATCCCCTCAGAAAAAAAATACTGAAGGTGAACAAAGCAACAACAGCAAATCTGGAAGCCAAAAAGTGCCAAAAAGCCCAAAAGTGCCAAAAATCCCCTCAGAAAAAAAATACTGAAGGTGAAAAAAGGCACCACAGCACCTCTGGAAGCCAAAAAGTGCCAAAAATCCTCTCGGGGAAAAAAAAAACAACTTTTTTTTCCGATTTTGTGCTCTTGATGTGCAGCAGCCCACAGGAATTAAACCCATCCCTTGCAGGGAACAGCTGATTCCATATTTTCTCACTCTGATTTTTATTCACAATCTGGGAAAAAAAAGCTCTGGAGCCACCATGTTTTATCCATGACCTGCCAAAAAAATCCCATTTTCAGGGGTTTCACCACATTTTTGACCTCAGCAGTGCTAAAATAGACATTAAATAGTGCTAAAAGAGTCACTAATCTTCCCCCAGGCTGTGTTTTTAATGTTAAATGTTATTTTTTACAGGCAAATATTAGCTTGATATAGCGAGGTGTTATTTTCTCAGCTGGGGGGAACTCAATCCCATTTCAGAGCAGCCTAGAAAAAAACCAAAAAAAAAGCAGGAATTCATGGGGAAGATGAGCTGGATGTATCTTTTTCCTGGAGAAGAGCCCTGAGGTTTTTTGGGGTGAGGGAAATATTTCAAACAGGAGGTTCTGCTCAGAGTGAGAGGCACAAAACCAGGGCAGAGCTGCAGGAAACTTCATTTCCAGTTGGTTTTTTTAAGCAAAGCTTCCTCAAAGAGCAGCTCTCGGTTCAAAATTGAGGTTTTAAAGTTTCCTGAGAAGCAAAAAAAACCCCTGAATTATTTTAAAAACACAATTCCAGAGGGCAGCCCTGCAAGGAGGGATTTTTCCAACCACACCGAGGCCCACGGGGGTGCCTGGAAATGGAATAAAAACTCTAAAAACTCTGCAGGGCTGGAGCCAAGAAACCTGCCTGACCTGGACGTGGAATTTTCACTGATATGCCTGGATAAAATTTCTTTTCTCCATGATTTTATGATTTTTTTTTTTTTCTGCATGGAAAACTGCAGGAGTTTTCCATTATTATTTCCTTTTTTCAGGCATGGAAAACTGCAGTTTTCCTGTGGAAGCCAAGAAACCTGACTAACCTGGATGTGGAATTTTCAATGACTTGCCAGGACAAAATTTTCTTTTTCTCATGGAAAACTGCAGGAATTTTTCTGTGGAAGACAAAAAACCTGCCTGATGTGGATGTGGAATTTTCACTGATATGCCTGGATAAAATTTCTTTTCACCATGGAAAAATATTTTTTTTTTTTCTGCATGGAAAACTGCAGGAGTTTTCCTGTGGAAGCCAAGAAACCTGATTGACCTGGATGTGGAATTTTCACTGATATGCCTGGATAAAATTTATTTTCTCCATGGAAAAGTTGGAGTTTTTTTCTGCATTGAAAACTGCAAGAGTTTTCCATTATTATTTCCTTTTTCTCCTGCATGGAAAACTGCAGGAGTTTTCCTGTGGAAGCCCACAAACCTGCCTGACCTGAATGTGGAATTTTCACTGATATGCCTGGATAAAATTTTATTTTCCTCACAGAAAACTGCAGGAATTTTCCTGTGGCTGAGCCACAAAAAGCAGGAGAGCTGCAGGAAGGCTGAGGTGCAACTTCTGCCCCTCACAACACTCACTGTTATTACTCACACCAGCAAAATAAACTGATTTTATCAGGCACACTCGAAGAATTTCCAAGTATTGCCTGGAAAAACACTGCCTGGAAGCTCAAAACCACACAAAAGTGTGAAATAGATTATAGAGAGGGGTTTAGTGTGTCATCATGGGGGAGAAATTTAGGTTTTAGGATATTTAGTGTTTTGTAGATGGGGACAAGATGGAGGATGTAGGGTGATGCCTCCAGTTCCTTTCTTTTCTTCTTCCTTCTCCATGGATTTGGGTGATATCTTGTAATTGGGTAGAAAAATTTGCATTGTGGGACTTGAGGGGTCAGTTATTGGGTCAGAAAGGGAAATAATCCAGGTGTCACTTCTTAATTGGGCAACTTAATTTTTGATGAGGCTTCCTTCAAAGGCCTCGTGACACGAGGTTCTGAGCCCTTTTTGTCCTGTTTTCCTGCAGACAGCATGCTGAAGTTTCGATAAAATAACAATAAAACAAGAGAAAAAGTTCTGTTTTTCTCCTTTTTCTGACACAAAACTGCTCCAGGAGGGTTTTCCCTGTCAGGACAGACACAAGGGCAGCTGGCAGCAGGGCTCAGGATGGGAATTTGGGAGGAATTCTTCCCTCTGAGCCTGGATTGGGATGGATTTCCCAGAGAATTTGTGTCCAAAACCACCTGGATAATGGGAGTGTCCCTGGCCGTGGTGAGGATGAATTTTAAGGATTCCAACCCAAAATATTCCAGGATTCCATGGTTCTCTCCTGCCACAGAAATTTGTAGCAATGTGTCACCCACAGGCTCAAAAGTGGCACTTTCTGTAAGAGCAGGGAGAGGGGATTTTATCCAAATCCTGAGAAAAACAACAGCAAAGCCAAAAAAATGTTGTGGCCAAAAACAAGGACCAAACCAGGCTTCAACCACAGGGCTGAGCAGCAGGCATTACCAAAATATTATACAAAATTATACAATTTTATACAAAATTATACAAAATATTATACAAAACATTATACAAAATTATACAAAATATTATACAAAATATTACACAAAAATAATCACTAAAAAGCAAACAAAATACCTCAACAAATCCAAAACCACACAAAAATCCAGCGAGTTTCTCAAACCCACCTTTACCTGGTGCTAAATTCTTTTTTTTTTTTTTTTTTTTTTTGGCCAAGCTGGACCAGCCCTGAGCACTGAAGAGATCCCCACAAGTTGCAGAGGTGAAAATTCCCATTTTTAGCCAGTTTTAAAGGCAACTCACTAGAACTTGGATTCCTTCTTTCTCGATTGGAGCTTGATCATAAGTGGCATCACAAACTCGCACCAAAGTTGTCACCCCATATTTCTTCAGCTCCTTGAATAGAAAAGAAAACACCTGAGCACTGATGAATGAGAAATTTCCTTTTATCAGCTACAAAACTCCATGTTTTCCACATTTTCAGGGCACTGAAGTGGAAGGTGCAAGGGATAAAATTTGAGAGGAAATGTTAAAAGTGACAGAAAAAAATGAGGAATGTTTCTGAGGGGAAAAAAAATTGCAATTATAAGAGTAAAAATTGCAATTGTAAGAGTAAAATTGCAATTATAAGAATAAAAATTGCAATTTTAAGAGTAAAATTGCAATTTTAAGAGTAAAAATTGCAATTGTAAGAGTAAAATTGCAATTACAAGAGTAAAATTGCAATTGTAGGAGTAAAATTGCAATTTTAAGAGTAAAAATTGCAATTATAAGAGTAAAATTGCAATTGTAAGAGTAAAATTGCAATTATAAGAGAAAAAATGCAATTTAAGAGTAAAATTGCAATTACAAGAGTAAAATTGCAATTTTAAGAGTAAAATTGCAATTGTAAGAGTAAAATTGCAATTTTAAGAGTAAAATTGCAATTATAAGAGAAAAAATGCAATTACAAGAGTAAAATTGCAATTGTAAGAGTAAAATTGCAATTGTAAGAGTAAAAATTGGAATTATAAGAGTAAAATTGCAATTGTAAGAGTAAAACTGCAATTGTAAGAGTAAAATTGCAAGTGTAAGAGTAAAATTGCAATTATAAGAGAAAAAATGCAATTATAAGAGTAAAATTGCAATTATAAGAGAAAAAATGCAATTATAAGAGTAAAATTGCAATTGTAAGAGTAAAAATTGGAATTGTAAGAGTAAAATTGCAATTGTAAGAGTAAAACTGCAATTGTAAGAGTAAAAATTGCAATTGTAAGAGTATTAAAATAGCTGTTTAAAGGCTCCATGTAGCTTTTTCTCTTTAAATAGAAGGCTGGGAGTGTTTGCTGCAGGCAGTGTTGACATTTGGAGGCAGGGAGGAACAGAACACACACCCCACCATGCTCCAGCTTCCTGGTAATGCACTAAAAGTAGCACTGGGTGCCAAATAAAGAAGCAGAGGATCAAACAAAAGCTGCTCCAGCTCGCTCTGAAGGCTCAGAAATCAGAATTTCCTCTGCTGTTTGGGGAAGAATTGCACCTCGTCATTAGCAGGAATGTACATTGCAGAGTGCTGAAAAAGGGAGGAAATTCTCAAGAATTGGGGGGAATAAAAACAAATGGATGGGAGGGAAAACGGAGCAGGGAAGGGACACTCAGGATCCCTCTGGAGTGACAAAACCCTGCACAAGACAGATAAAAACCAGATAAAAACCCTCCTGAGAGAAGCCAGAAGGGCTCAAAGATGTGAAACCCACCGTGCTGCTGGCCCAAAAATGGAATTTTGCTGAATTTCAGACGTTGCTGTGACCCAGCAGAGGCCAATTCTGGCAGCTGAAAACCCTGACAGCTCTGGGATGGACACTGGAGTTAAATAACTCATCCTGTGAACCTGAAATTCAGTTTTTATTTCATTTTCTGAGCGAGGAGAAAGCTCAGCTCCAGCTCTTAACTCAGCACCTGAGCAATGGTTGATTTATTTATTACAAACGGTGCATTGCTCAATGAAAAACAACATTTAGAAGCACAAAATCAAAATATTTTTATCATGGGATGGGTTGGGTGGGAGCTCAAAGCTCACCCAGTTCCACTCCTCTGGTTGGGGACACCAACCTGGCCTTGGACATTTCCAGCTCCTCTGGGAATTCCCTGGATTTTTTACCTAAATCTCCCATTTTTTCTCTTTGAAATCATTTTCATGTCCAAGGATGCTTTGATGGAAAGGGGGGATGTGTTTGTATCCCAAAACTGAAGCTCATCCAAGCCAAGAAATGCAGGAATTCAGAAAAAAACCCAAACACCAGTGAATTCTGTTCTTGTATTGTGAGGAGAATGTGAAAAATAAAGACAAAAAAAAATCCTGAAATTTCCTTCCAGAGGTGAGGAAGGACTGGTCAGCAAATTCCTGAATTTGGACAGGAATTTGGGAATTTTTTTGGACTCATTATTCTTGTCCAAGGAGTAAATCCTTGATGGAGGGGGGTGGGTGTTTCTATCCCAAAACTGAAGCTCATCCAAGCCAAGAAATGCAGGAATTCAGAAAAAAACCCAAACACCAGTGAATTCTGTTCTCATCCTGTGAGGAGAATGTGAAAAATAAAGACAAAAAAGCCCTGAAATTTCAGGTAAGAGGCACTGAGAGGGGAGGAAGGACTGGTCAGCAGATTGCTGGGCAGGAATTTTGAGGGATTTTGGAATTTTTTGGAGTCCTTACCTCGATGAACTTGCTGAGGGTCGCATTGGTTGGGTTGTGAGTGATCAGGAAACGCAGATTCTCATAAGTAATTTCCACGGGGGCTGGACGGTTCATAATGGCAAAGAAAATGTGTGAGGGGCCAAAAAAAAAACCAAAAAGAAAAACAAAAAAAAATCGAAATAAAGGGGGGAAAATAAACCAAAAAAAAAAAAAAATCAATGACCTTGGAAACGTTTCACAGCAGAAAACATGAAAAAGATCACTAATATGCCTGGGATTGATCAGAGCTTGCTTGGATGGGTTTGTTCCTCAGGGGATTTTGCTCCTAGAAAAAGCAGCTTTGCTTCCAATAATCCTCAATTCCCGGCGGGGTGGTATCCTTCAGGCTCCCAAAATTCCCACTGCAGGCCAGGCTGGGGAATTCTACATCGAGGCACTGGTGAGGTGAGGGCAGCCAGGGCAGGGTTGTGGCTCCTCTTGGTTCTCCTGGGGCTGAGCTGTGCCAGGGAGGTGCTGCCAAGGGGCAGGAGAAATCCCATAAATCTGAGCCGCCTTCCCGGAGTCTCCAAGGCCAAAAAAAAAATGGGAATTCTGGCAGGCAGACACACGTGGGGAGCCCCCTGAGCTCACTTGGCAGCCAGGGTGCTGTGCTGGGCCTGGCAGAAGTCTGCCCTGACGCTCAGAATCGCCATAAATGTGCCAAGGGTGCTCCAACAGAACTCCTGGAATGGGGAAAAAAAGAGGGAAAAGTTGGTGATTCTGTCCCCAGCAGTGATTCCCCACACAGAGAAATTCAAATTAAATAAAACGTGCCAAGTATGCTCCAACAGAACTCCAGGAATGGGGGAAAAAAAGGGAAAAGTTGGTGATTCTGTCCCCATCAGTGATTCCCCACACAGAGAAACTCAAATTAAATAAAACGTGCCAAGTATGCTCCAATAGAACTCCTGGAATGGGGGAAAAAAGAGGGACAAGTTGGTGGATTCTGTCCTGATCAATGATCCCCCTACAGAGAAATTAAAATTCAATTAAATGGGCTAAGTATGGTCCAACAGAACTCTGGGAATGGGGGAAAAAAGAGGGAAAAGTTGGTGATTCTGTGCCCATCAGTGATTCCCCACACAGAGAAACTCAAATTAAATAAAATGTGCTAAGTATGCTCCAATAGAACCCCTGGAATGAGGGAAAAACTGCACGAAAAGTTGGTGACGCTGTCCCCATCATTGATTCCCCACAGAGAAACTCAAAATAATCACTAAAAAAAACCCAAAAAATCAAAGTCCTGACTCATAATATTGTGAATATTCTCTTGGGGTATTGTGCCAAGTAAATGTGCCAAGTATCCTCCAACAGAATACCTGGAATTGGGGGAAAAAAAGAGGGAAAAGCTGGTGATTCTGTGCCCATCAGTGATTCCCCACACAGAGAAATTCAAATTAAATAAAATGTGCTAAGTATGGTCCAACAGAACTCCTGGAATGGGGGAAAAAGAGGGAAAAGTTGGTGGATTTTGTGCCCATCAGTGATTACCCCCTCAGAGAAACTCAAATTAAAATAATCACTAAAAAAAAACCCAAGAAATCAAAGTCCTGAATCATAAATATTGTGAATATTCTCTTGGTATACTGTGCCAAGTATCCTCCAAGAGAACTCCTGGAACTGGGGGAAAAACTGCAGGAAAAGTTGGTGGATACTCTCCCCATCACTCACCCACCCCAGAGAAACTCAAATTAAAATAATCACTAAAAAAAAAAAAAAAAAACCAATAAATCAAAGTCCTGATAGGTCTGATCAAAAATATTGTGAATATTCTCCCGGGATTTGCTGTAATTCCTGCTCCTGGAGGCACCAGGAGTAAGGAATTCTGTGTTCCCCTCCTGGAGTAACAGAAAACAGCACAAAGCCAAGCACACACTTGGAAATGTCACAGGCACAGCCCCACCTGCTTGGATTAATCCCAAATATATCAAAAATACCACTGCTGTGCTTTTATTTTCTGAACAAAACCAGCAGCAGGAGCAGAAATAAGGGTATAATAAATAAAATAATAAAATAGAATCAGTTTTTCATGTATTTCAGCTCCTGCCAGCAAATAAATTCCACCCAACTCGAAATATCCCCCAGGAATCTATCAAAGTGATGGCCAAATGGTCATTTAGCAGCAATAACTTTTAGTTATTCTCAATTATTTCAGTTATAACCATAATAACTTTGGGTTATTCGCTGCCTTATCTCTGTTTACAGACCTGGGCTTTAAAGGCAGCCACAGCTCTCAGCTTGAAAAGCCAGAAATCAAAACACAAAATTTCAGCAATAAAGGGTGGAACAAAGTCCTGAAATTCAGGGGGATGAAAATGAGAGTTATCCCAACAGCACCTCAAATCAGAAATATTAAATTATCAGCGTGGTTTTTTTAAATAATGAAGCCAAGGAATTGCTGCTGATGCTTCTTTTTTTATTTTTTTTTATTTTTATGAGGGGAAAAAAGGTTGAAATCAGCTGGATAAAATCCCAGGCTGCAGGCAGGAGTCACAAACCCACAAGTGGAGTGGAAAGGTCAGCGTGGCATCACTGGAGTGAGGAAAATTAGGGAAAAACCCACCCCTGTGAGTGCCCAGCGTTTAATGAGATCCTCACTTTCACACAGGCAAATTAAGCACCACCAAATTACCCTTTTTCAGTGCAAAAATCACCCAAAGAACAGCAATCACCGCCTCAAAGTACAGCTTTCAGTGCCAAAAATGAGATTAATTAGCTTGCCAGAGGCAAGGGAAAAGCTGCTCTCAATCACCTCCCCCGACCTCGAGGCAGAGTGACTGAAATACAAATTTCCACCACCAATTCTGGGATGTTTCACCCACAAAAGTCCCCCCTAAACACATCACACAGGAGTCCCTGCATTTATCAATTCCCTCTCTCACAGAGCACAGGAAATTAAAGAGGTGAAAGCCCAATTAGGAGAATAAAAAATGGTTTTATAAATAATTTAATGGCAAAATGGAGAAAGAAGAACCTCCATTCCTAGATTTTCTCCTCTCAGATTTGGTTGGAAGATTCTCATCCAGAGCTATTTTTGCCCTGGAAGTTGTATCAAATCAGGGTCATTTTGGATATTCTTTGAATTTCACCCCTATTATTTTAAAAGGCAGTTGTACAAACAATTTACCGAGCGATTAAGTGGAATATTTCATTTCCAATTAGCAAGTGGAATATTTCATTTCCATGTCTGCTGAGAGTGCCAAGGAGTCACCAGCTCCTCTGAAAACCAGGAATGACACCAGCTCCCCCTTCCCAAAGGAATATTCCTGAAGTATTTAATTAGCTCCTAGTTCAGGAGTAATTAAACATGTATTTTTACTAAAGCACTGTATTTAAGCCTGAAAAAAGTTATTTCCAGCAGGATAAGGAGTTGATGCAACACACAAGGCTAATTTTAAAAGTTTGGGCTGCTGATGGATACTGAGTTTAAAAAGAAAAATCAGGCTTCTCATTAAGAAAATTAAAATTTTTTTGTCTACACTTTCTGATTTTTCCCCAAGTAAACATTTCACAAATTCTCTCTGCAAGTAAATTTGCATTTCAAAACCCCAGGAGAATAAACTGCAACCGGGTCTGTGGACAGCAGCAAACAAGGAATGGTTTTTCAGCCAATTAACCTTCAGATTTTCTAGTCAGAAAGGGAGATGAGGCACGGAGAGGAACCAAAAAAATGATGATGCTGGGCTGGAAGAGGGAGCAGAAGCATCCAAGTAGGAAAAGCAGAGAGGCAGCAGGACAGAGAGGTGGGAATGAACATTTTTGGAGCTGGGAGGCAGCTCCTGGTGGTGTCATCAGGGAATTCTGCTCAATCCAGGTGTTAGTTGATTAATCCAGATGTTATCTGTTTAATTCAGGTGTTATTTGATCAATCCAGGTGTTATTTGATCAATGCAAGTGTTATTATCTGCTCAATCCAGCTGTTGTTACCCGCTCAATCCAGGTGGGAGGGATTTTGGGAAGTTTTTAACACAGATCCCACCAGGATTTCCTCCCCTCACTCACAGCCTGATCCGAGGTAAATTTGAGAGGAATTTCTTCTCAAATGGGCAAAAATAAGCTGAAAATCCATGGAAAAGGCAGGAATTAAGCAGCATAAATTAATCACGGTAACAACTGATCAGGGGAGAAATGAATTCCTGGCTTGACGGGAGCTGGAGATGGTTGGGAGTGAAATCCCAGACAGCCACAATGAATTTAGGATTCCTAAATCCGAGATCCCAGGGTAAAGGAAAAGCAAGGAACGACAGCGTGAGGAACTCCCAGTTCCATCAGCTCCTCCAAAATTACACAGAGAGAGAGAGAAAGAGGGAGAGGAACAGCTGAGAACAGCTGCAGCTTCCAGGGATTGCAGAACAAGGATCCCCCTGGAAAGGTCACCGGGATCCCCTTTCCAACGCCCCAGGGCACAGGATGCAGCCAGCACTCCCTGCTAATTTGTTACTCGGAATTAAAAGGATCCTCGGGAAGGCCTCCAGCAATCCCAAAATCGTTTTGCTCCTCTCGAATTTGTGAGCTGCTGGATTTTCCTTTTCCATGATACCTCTGGAATTTCCACACGTGAAAGCAGCGCTGTCAAACTTCCATCTTCTGGCTTTTCCTGACACTCTGCCCATGCCAGGTTTTACTTCCCCTTCCTGAAAACTCCCCACTGAGTGACCCCTCTCTATCCCTACACTGCCAAAACATTTTCACCTGCAACATTTTCCACGTGAAAAACCTCCAAAACCAGCCTTAAAACTTAAAACCACAAATCAGCCAGAACCCAAAAAAAAACAAAACCAAAAACAAACAAACAAACAAAAACTCTTTTTTAAAATATCCTCTGAAGGAGGAAAACCCTGGAATTAAATGGTTTTGGATGAACTGAAGGAAGCTTGCTCAGACTGACACGTGCCTGCAGAGGGGTGAGGTCCAAAAATTTCACTGTTCCACCCTGCCCACCCCTTCCCAGTCCCTCCCAGTCCCTCCCAGTTTGCTGACAAGCTCTGGGGCTGACTCACTCTGTTTCCTCTGTGGCAGCAGATACGGATCTGCCCGAGCAGGAACAAGAAGCTCAAAGAGTGGCAATGCCACTGTCAGGAAATGGTGACAATTGTCACCTGCCCAGGGGTGAGGCAAAGCTCACCACATCCCTAAACTGGAATGGATGGAAAAAATCACCCTGGGAACACCGGGAAGCAGCTGGACACTGCCCCAGTTCTTCCAGGAAAGTGCTTCATACTCTTCTTCCCTGCTAATGCTGTTCTGACATTAGGATTATTTAAAAAAAAAACACCTTCCCCACCCATCACTTCAGTTTTTAAAGGACATGTTGGAATGGTGTTTGCATTCCATGCCCAAAAAGCTGAAAGTTGCTAAAAGTGTTTGAAGTTGCTAAAACTTTGAAGTCAAAAGCAAAAGGCAAAAAAAAAAAATTAAAACTTGAGCCTCAATCCTGTTTAAGCCGTGGAATTATATTCACATGAAATCAAAAATTACTTTCAGTAATTTGTTTGCGACATCAATAAGCCTTTCCTAAAAACCAGAAGGCTGAGCTGTCTAAGCTGGGCTTTGAAAACAAGGTCCTGCCTTGATCAACAGCTCAGCCTAAATATTCTCACACGAAATATCAAAACCCAACACCAAAACCCCATTAACGAGTCGAGCAGGACTTAAAAGCAACTTCAAAAATCACGCAGAAAAACACACAGAAGCTGCAGAGCTGAGTCACTTGCACCTTGCTCATCTGCCTAATTCGAGTTTCCATCCAGCTCTGCTGGAAAACGCCTCAGTTTGGAGCTGAGGAGTTAAAGCAGGCTGACAGCCCAGCCTGGGGCTGACTGATAAATGTCACTGCCCGGCCACAAAGTCCCAATTGTTCCCTGGTGAGGCCCATTCTCTCTCACAGCTCGGTTTTCAGAGCTGAACTTTTTTATTTTAGGTGGGAACAGAGAGAGAAACAAGAAGCAACAAAAAGCTACAATTAACAGTGACCAACCTGGCGAGCCCCGAGAGCTGGGAAAGAACATCTCGGCCTCCTCCGGCCCCTCAGCATCAGCAAAAAGCTGTGAGATGATACCAGGGTCACAGGCACTCCGAAGGGATTTGATATTTCTTATTTAAGAGGTGTTCCAGCTCTCACTGGCTCAAAAAACAGCAGCCTCCAAGGCATGGGGGCTGATTTCCAAGGTTTTCACGGAGCTGCTGTGAATCTGCAGCTGTCAGAGGCACCCAGAGCCCCCAGCTGCTCTCTGCCAGGGCAGGAACAGCCCTGAAAATGGGTTTTTCCCTCCCAAAATACACGAGCTATCACGTCATTTGGAATCCCAGCATGGTTCAGGCGCATAAAGTCACCCCAGGTGACTCCAAGGTGGCCTTGGGCACTTCCACAGCTTCTCTGAGAATTCCATCCCATCCCTCATCACCTCACAGGGAATTCCTGCCTAAAAAACTTCCTAGACAGGAATTTTCAAACTTCTGTCAGGGTGAAGCTGTTCCCTCTCATGCTGGCACTTTTGTAGGGAGCTCCCTGCTCGCCCTGCTCCTTTCCCAGCTCTGGAGCCTTTCCATGAATCACCTGGATCTGCCTTGCCAGGTATCAAACCTGGAATTCCAGAGGGGGCAAAGTCCTGGCAGGAGCCAGGGGAGCAGCCTGAGCTCTGCCCCGAGGCAGGGAAAGCTCAGTGGGGAAGAGCAGGATGGATCTCTGCAGGGAATTCAGCCTGGAATCATTCACTGAGGTGTTTAAAAAAAAAAAAAAAGAAAAAACCACTACTAGATCCTGAGTAAGACCCACATTCCTGGCTGTGCATCCACACTCCTACCTTAACTCCAGCTGAGTTGATTAAATCCAAGTATTTCTACATGTTGAGTCATAAGGAGACAGAGTTTTCTGGCTGCTGCTAGTGGTGGGTATCTCTTTTTTTTTATTTTTTATTCCCCCCCCCCCCCTCCTTTAAATCCTAACTGCAGTTCTGAGTCAGACCCTGCCTGGTTCGTTCGGGGAGTTTCGAGGCGAGTTTCCATTTATACAGGAGCTTTTTCAAAGCCAAATTTCTGCCTTCCTCCTCCTCCTCCTCACCCCGAAACCAGCGAGCACACAGTGCCCCGGGGAGAAAATGCAGATGGTGACTAATCACACCCCAAAAAAGCCACTTCCAGCACTTCCCCACAGCCTCACCTGCGCTCCAAATCCCAAAGCTCAGCTCCTTCTCAATCCCAAACTCGCCCCGAGCTGACATTGCCCAGAAATCCGCCCCTCCCTGACTCAGACCTTCCCGCAGGTCACTCGCAGCACCCCGAGCCACGCCAGGACTTTTCCCGAGGCGTTGCTCGGCCCAGAATCCATCGGCTCCCCCTTTCCCAGCCCCAAATCCCACAGGGTAACAGCCCTTTATCCAGACAAACCGGCCCCACAGCCCTGCCCCCAATTCCCACCCCAGGAAAACCACCACATCCTGGACACCCTTCCTTTCCTGCCCCCCTCCAGCCTGAGAAATGTCACCGCTCCCCAGCTTTTTCCAGCCCTAAACATAAAAAAAAAAATATCCCTTCACTCTTTACAGGCCACCTCGAGGCTTCCCTTTCCCACCCCCCAAAAATATCCATAGCTTTTATCAAACTTGTCCCCTGTCCACACAGGAATAGGTAACACCCCTTCCCTCAAAACACTGCTCCAAATGCCCCCCAGCACCAGGTAAAAAAATCCCAAAACCAGGTACAAATTCCCCCCAAAGCCAGGTAAAAACCCCCAAAACCAGATACAAATTCCCCCCAAAAACCAGGTACAAATTCCCCCCAATGCCAGGTACAAATTCCCCCCAAAGCCAGGCACAAACCCCTCAAAAACCAGGTACAAATTCCCTCCCAAAAGCCAAGTACAAATTCCCCCCAATGCCAGGTACAAATTCCCCCAAAAACAGGTACAAATCCCTCAAAAACCAGATACAAATTTCCCCCAAAACCCAGATATAAATTCCCCCCAAAGCCAGGTACAAACCCCTCAAAACCCAGATATAAATTCCCCCCAAAGCCAGGTACAAACCCCTCAAAAACCAGCTACAAATTCCCTCCCAAAACCCAAGCAGAAACCCCTCAAAAACCAGGTACAAATTCCCCCCAAAGCCAGGTACAAATCCCCCAAAAAGCAGATACAAAATCCCCCCAAAGCCAGGTACAAATTCCCCCCAAAACCCAGGCACAAACCCCACATTCCACCCTCCTGCAGCCTCCCTGTCCCCCCCAGGAAATGCCCTCCCTTCCTGAACATCCCCCCAAAACCGCCTGCAAGGGGGGCTTGGGGACCCACACAAGGCTGGGGGAGGGCACTGAGCCCCCCACATCCCCAAGATGAGGAAGACCCCCCCAAAAAACCAGCGATAAGGGACCCCCAAAGCTGCAGGTCAAAGCTGTCCCCAGCCAGCCCTGGGGACCCTCCACAGGCACACGGGGACCCCCAGAGCACCCCCAAGCACAGGGGGGACCCCAGAGCTTTGAGCTACCCCCAAACCTCCTCTTTGCACGCAGGGAGCCCTGAAAGCCTCGCAGGATCCTCCAAACAAACCCCACAGGCCGGGAATTTCCTCCACAACGGGAAGGACTCCCCGAAGCAGCCCCTGGAGCCGGGCAGAGCCTCGTGGACCCCCAAACCCTGCACCCCCAAACCCTGCACCCCCAAACCTCCTGCACCCCCAAACCCTGCACCCCCAAACCCACCCCCTCAGCCTTCCCCAACCCTGACCCTCCCAAAGCCTCCCCCAGAACACAAAACCCCCTCCAAACCACCCACAAGGGCCCAAGGAGACTCTCCGGGCCCCCCAGAGCAGGGAATCCCCTCCAAACACGCCAAGCGACACCCGGGATTCCCCCCCCACCTCTTCCCCAGCCCCCGGGGCGGCGCCTCCCGCCTCGCCCGGTGCCCTCCGCGGTTCTCACCGTGGGCATTGAGCGGGCCGGGGGCCGGGCAGGCTCCGTGACGGGGCTGGGGCTGCGCTGGGCCCGGTCCGGCCGGAGACACCGAGAGCCCCGCGCGCCGCCACACGGCTCCGAGCGCACAGGCCGCGCCCCCCCCCCGCACACCCACGGCCCGCGCGGTGGTACGGTCCGCCCACACCGGCCCCCGCCTAGGGGCAGCGCGCTGGGCGCGTCCATTCCGAACGTGGAGGGGGGAATGGAGCTCGCGGCAGTTTTCAGTGTCTGGCGTGGCCTCCCGGGAAAGCTCCCGTCACGAACTGCAGTGACGAGACACGGAGCTACAGAGGTTCGGTATGAGGAGGAAATGCTTCCCTGTGAGCGCGGCGAGGCGCTGGCGCAGCTGTGGAATGCCCCGAGCTTGGAATTGTTCGAAGCCAGGTTAGGTAATGCCTTGAGCAACCCGCTCTAGAGGGAGGTGGCCCCTCTCCGTGTAGCGGAGAACGGCTCCTTCCATCCCCCGTTATATCCTATGGTACAGGCCTCTCCCCCCCGTTGGGCATTGGTATGGCCCGGGGCGGCTCGCCCTGACCACCCTTGGTACGTCCCAGCGCCCCCCGCAGCCCCCGCGCACTTGGACCGGCCCTCTGGCCGCACGTGCACACGGAGCCTTCCACGCCAGCATCTCCCCCCCACACTAGCGCAGTGGTACAGCCCGCTCCTCCCCACCGCGGTCAGTGGTTCGGCCCGCCCGGGGGTTCCCGCGGCGGGACCGGGAGCGGGAATCGGGGACCGGGAGCGGGAATCGGGGATCGGGATCGGGAATCCGGGACCGGGAGCGGGGATCGGGGACTGGGAATCTGGGAGAGGGACCGGGAGCGGGAATCGGGGACCGGGAATCGGGGACCGGGATCGGGAATCGGGGAGCGGGACCGGGAGCGGGAGCAGGAATCGGGGACCGGGACAGAATCGGGAGCGGGACCGGGAATCGGGGACCGGGACGGGATCGGGACCGGGACCGGGACCGGGACCAGGATCCGGGACCGGGGACCAAGGACCAGGTTCGGGATCGGGACTGGGGATCAGGGACCGGGACCGGGATCGGGACTGGTGATCAGGGATCAGGATCGGGACTGGGATCGGGGACCGGGACCGGGATCGGGACTGGGATCGGGACTGGGATCGGGGACCGGGACCGGGACTGGGATCGGGACCGGGACCGGGATCGGGACTGGGGATCAGGGATCAGGATCGGGACTGGGATCGGGGACCGGTACCAGGATTGGGACTGGGGATCAGGGACCGGGACTGGTATCGGGGATCAGGACCGGGATGGGGACTGGGATCAGGGACCGGGACTGGGATCGGGGATCAGGACCGGCATGGGGACCGGTACCGGATCCAGTACTGGGACCGGGATCAGGACCGGAGACCAAGGACCAGGATCGAGACCGGGAACCGGGATCGGGACTGGGAATCAGGGACCGGGATCAGGATCGGGGACCGGGATCAGGATCGAGGAACCGGTTCCGTGGTCAAGAACACCACGGGGAAGCACCGGCTGGGGCACGGCGATCCCGGCTGAATCATCCATGAAGGGGCAAAGCTGAGGGTGAGAAAAAAGGTACCAGCAAACCTTTGTCCCTCAAAATACACTTCGCTGGGTTTAATGGCTCTGCAAAGTCATAACCGGAGTCGCATAAACTCTGATAAATTGTGAAAAATCACTTGGTTTTTCAAATTTTAAAGGTTTAATAATAATAAAATGGTTATAAAAATAGTAATACAATTAGAGTAATAAAGTTTAGAGTTAGGACAATTACAAGACAATAAAAAGCAAAGAATTACGGATGTCTGGATGCTCTCAGACACTAAAGTCAGGAAAAGCATCCCTTGTGAACAAAGTAATAACCTTAAAAGCAACACCCTGTTGCATATTCATGTATCCCTCATGGTTATGCATAAATTCTATTTAAAACAAGAAACTGTCTGTTGTATGTCAACTATTTCCATTAATCCCCATGGTGTCTTCGAGTCTGAGCAAGGCCTGAAGAAATTCGCTTCTTCTGATAAGAAAACCATAAATTCCTTTTCTTTGGAAGATTTAGGTGTTCCTCGAAGCAAGTATCTCATTCCTAAAAAAAAACTTCCCCCACATATATAGTCTCTATTTTAATATTATGTTGGAATCTAAAACTGCATTTACCACACTACTTAAGAGAATTAATACAGCACAACTTTGAGTTACTCTCTCCACATCCACCAGTCCCTGCCTCCATTACCCCCCCACTCCCACGACAGGTGAGTGACTGGATGGATTTCAAAGTGGCAAATACTTTGTTCAGTGCCGAGACACACATCTTGAGCATTAATGTTATTGCCTTCACAAATGAATCCTAGTTGCTCATTAGCAACAGAGGATTCTGAGCTTGCTGTTTGCCACTTTTCATTCAGCTTTCATGCCCACACTCTATGCTCTGAGGGGTTTTCTTATGATTTAATCCTAGTGCGGTGATGGGGTGGATCACATAAACAGTGGCATTACTTATAGTAAGCAAAAAGGCAGTGGCCACATTAGAAGCAGGATCATAGGTAAAATGGATGAGTTACTCTGTCCCCACATCCACAATTCCCTGCCTCCACGCCGCCGCTTCCACGACGGACTGGATGAGTTAATCTCTACCCACATCCACCATTCCCTTCCTCCATCACCCCCCGCTTCAATGACGAACTGGATGAGTTACTCTCCCCACATCCACCATTCCCTTCCTCCATCACCCCCCGCTTCAATGACAGACTGGATGAGTTAATCTCTCCTCACATCCACCATTCCCAGTCTCCATCACCCCCGATCCCAACCCCGCCACCGGCCCCGCGCCATTCATGAGGGGGGCGCGGGTGGCGCCAGGCGCATGCGCGGAGCGCTCCCGGGGCGATTCCCCCTCACACATACAGAGACACACTCACTCACACTCACACACACAGAAACACACACACACAGACGCAGACACACACACAGATACACACACAGACACAGACAGACACAAAGACATAGACAGACAGACACACACACATCGGTGGCTCCCTCCGCGCCATTCCCGCCCGGCCCCGGCGCATGCGCGGAGCGTTCCCGCGGCTGTCCCCCTCACACTCACACACACCCTCACACACCCACACCCACATACACATACACACCCCCTCACACACACCTCACACACCCACACCCACATACACACCCTCTCACACACACACAAACACACACACAGACACAGACACAGACAGACAGACACACACACACCGGTCGCTCCCTCCGCGCCATTCCCGCCCGGCACCGGCGCATGCGCAGCGCGCTCCCGCGGCTGTTCCCCTCACACTCACACACCCCCCACAGACACACACACCCCCTCACACACACCTCACACACCCACACCCACATACACACCCTCTCACACACACACAAACACACACAGACACAGACACACACACACACACACAGACAGACAGACAGACAGACACCCCCCGGTCGCTCCCTCCGCGCCATTCCCGCCCGGCCCCGGCGCATGCGCACGCGCTCCCGCGGCTGTCCCCTCACACTCACACTCGCACCGGGCGCTTCCGCCGCGGCAGTTCCGGCCCGGGCGCTGCGCGGGCGGTGTGGCCGCTCCGCTCCCGCCGCTCTCGCCGGCCCGGCCCCGCTTCCCTTCCCCGGCACCGCCTCATGCAGCGCCGTGACGACCCCGCCGGTCGTTTATCTCGGGGACAAGGCCCCGGTGGTCGCGCACCGCCGCGCCGGCAGCCCCGTGGCGGAGGGGCCCGCGGGGCCGCAGCGCAGCCGCCGCCGCCCGGTGTGGCCGCGATCGGTGGGGCATCAGGGCCGGGGGGAACCGGTATGGTTGGAGGCAAGATGGAGCCTGAGAACAAGTACCTGCCCGAGCTGATGGCCGAGAAGGACAGCCTGGACCCGTCCTTCACGCACGCCATGCAGCTCCTCACCGCAGGTACCGGGGGCACGGCGGGGAAAGCGGGTCCCGGTGGCCGTTCTGAGGGGTTGCAATGAGATATTTCCCTGTGGAATCGCAGGTTATTTCACAGTGTAAAGCGCGAGTTTTGTGTGTTTTATTGGTGGTTATGTTATGTTACATTGTGTGAGCTTTCGTGGTGTGGCCTTAGCCAGACAGGAAAATCAAAACCCTTGAGATAACCGAAATGACAGGAGAATGCAGAGAATCAAAACCCTTGAGATAACTGAAATTAAAGGAGAACCAAGAGAATCAAAACCCTTGAGATAACCGAAATGACAGGAGAATCCACAGAATCAAAACCCTTGAGATAACTGAAATTAAAGGAGAACCAAGAGAATCAAAACCCTTGAGATAACCTAAATGAAAGGAGAATCAAGAGAATCAAAACCCTTGAGATAACTGAAATGAAATAATTTCAAAATAATTTTAAATGAAATAATTTTTGAAAATATTTTTAAAATATAAGTTTAATAGTTGAAATAAAACGTGGCGGTATTTATTTTTTTTTAATAATAATTTTATTATTTAAGTTTAAGAATTGAAGGAAAACCTGGTGGTAATAGGAAATCCGCTGCTGATAACTGTGATGTTCAAGCGATGCCCGGTTCTTCCATCACCTCATCCCCGAGCTCCTTCCAGTTTCCAGGGTGGGAGTGACAATCCCAGGGGACAGTCCCAGTCCTGGAATGTCCCTTAGGACCCTCTGGTGACCTGCTTTGGGGCCAGCTCCTCTCCTTTGCTGACAAGTCTCAGGCTGTTGGTAATGCGAGTCCCATAAAAATCCCTAAAAATAGCTGGAAGAAAGGAGCTGTGTCCCAGAAATCAGGGGGATTTCTGTGGGGAAATCGGGAGGATTGCTCGGATGCTTTTTTTTAGTTATTTTTTATTATATATTTATTATTCTGTTTCGTTATTTATTTTTAATTATTTATTTTTGCACCTGCTTTTAAAATTGCTAATATTATTATATTTTTGTCATTATATTTATCATTGTATTTACCGTTATTATGTTAATATACTTATCATTATATTTATTACATTCATCATTCTATTATTATATTTATAATTATATTTATTATAATATTTATTATATTTATCATTATATTTATAATTATATTTATTATGATATTCTATTTATTATTATATCTATCATTAAATATATCGTTATATTCATTATCATATTTATTATAATTTTGAGATTTTAAAATTATTTATTCGAATTTTTATTGTTCTAATTAATTAAATTATTAAATTTAATTTTATTTCATTTAATAATAATTTATTTAATGATCATTTTTCCAATTATAATTTATTTAATGATTATTTAAGTTATTTGAATTAATAACTTAAATTTATTAATTGGAATTTTATTAATTATTTATTTCTTCACCTGCTGTTTTTCTTAAGTTTTTCTTTTTCTCAGTGCTTAAAAATGCAGAGTTTTGCTGCAGCTCTGGAGGTTTTAGGAGCTTGTTTTATGCAGGGAATAATTCTTGGGAATTGCTTTTCTCCCATTGTGCAAACAACCCGTCGTGGCATCACCCGCCAGCATCTTGATCTAAATAAATGGGGTTTGTAATCCGATTTTCCATCGGTTTCATGGGTTTGATTAATAAAATTCTTCACTCAGCTCGGCTGTGACGCCTCCCAGCCAAAGGAAACCCAGGGAATTTGCAAATTCCCACATCCTGCAAAGCCTCCTTCACCTGAGGGGTGTGATGAGAATTTAGGGAGGGGTTTCTATTCATTAATTTATTCATTTAATGACTGCAGCTTTGGGGGATGTAAAATTGCAGCAGCTCCAGTTGTGGGTATTTTGAATTTTTTTGGGGGGAGCATTCCCAGTCCCAGTTCAGGGTGAGCTGAGCAGGAAAACAAGAAAGAATTGGAGGTAAAATGGTGGGTTTAAGTGATTTTTTTTTGCCTGGATGACCCCCAGAGTGCTCTGGATGATTTGGAATTTCACTCTGGGCCAAAGCTGTGATGCACAACTCCAGCAAAATGATTTCCAGACGCAGAACTCATCCTGAGGGTCAGCAGAATTCTAATTCCAGCCTTTTTTTCCTTCCCAGAAGTGGAAGTTGGACTTCCTTCCTGCTGGAATTCTGCATTCATTTCTTTTCAAACATCTTAAAGTTGTCTAAAATATTTGGTGGTTCTGTATTTGTAGAAGAAATTGGCTTTTTTTTTTCACTGGCAATGATGGGGTTCTTATTGATTCCACGGACTCTGGTGTGGAAAGGGTTCTGTTACCCTGAAGAAAAACTGAAAACTGGAATTTCATGTATTTTCAAATATAATCCTTGTTTCCCTCCTGGTATTTGGGGTCTGTGTGACCTTCCTTTTCCATACGAACAAGAAAATCCTTTTTTTTTTTTTGTCCTTTGGGTTTATGCTGTGGAAAGAGCAGGGGAGGTGTGAAGGGCACAGCCCTCTCTGCTTCTCTGCTTTGGGAAGATGGGATATATCCCCTCGTGTGGTAGCTAGGTGTGGGGGTTTGGGTTTTTTGGGAATTTTAGCCGGTTTTATTTCACGGAGAAACTGCAAGGGAGAAGAGCTGAGCTTCCCAAGGATGTGTGAGCTGTGTGGGGTGGGAATGAGAGCAGGAAGGAGCAGCTGGAGGTGCTGGGGACTCCCGCACGGAATTCCCTGCTGGATCCAGGCCAGATCCGGATCCAGGTTGTGCATCGCTGGCAGTGGGAAGGGCGAGGTGGCAATGTCACCCCTGGGAGCCAAACAGGGATTAGAGAGGCTGAGGTCACTGCAGGTGAGAGGGTCACCCTGGAGCTCCTTCCACGTGGAGCCCAGGCTCTCCTGACGTGGAGATTCCCTCCATTCCCGTCCTTCCCAGAGGATATCCTGTCCCCTGACTGCCACCTGAAATTGTCCCCAGCTCTCCCAGGCTGGATTGTTCCCAAACCATTTCACCTTGCACTTTTCCATTTCTGTTTTGTTCTACCATGGCAATGTTCCCCACTGCTGGCGCTGCTGTGGCCATTCCCGTTCCCACCTCTGTGGCCATTCCCATTCCAACCCCAGTGTCTATTCCCACCTCAGTGGCCATTCCCATTCCCAGTGCTGTGGCCATTCCCCTTCCCACCTCAGTGGCCATTCCTGCTGCTGTGGTCATTCCCATTCCTGCTGCTGTGGTCATTCCTGTTCCCACCTCAGCAGCCTTTCCCATTCCCACCTTTGTGGCTATTCCTGCTGCTTTGGCCACTCCCATTCCCAGAGCTGTGGTCATTCCCATTCCCACCTCAGTGTCCATTCCCCTTCCCACCTCAGTGGCCATTCCCATTCCCACCTCAGCAGCCTTTCCCATTCCCACCTCTGTGGCCATTCCTGCTGCTGTGGTCATTCCCGTTCCCACCTCAGTGGCCATTCCCATTCCAACCTCAGCAGCCTTTCCCATTCCCACCTCTGTGGCTATTCCTGCTGCTTTGGCCACTCCCATCCCCAGAGCTGTGGTCATTCCCATTCCCACCTCAGTGGCCATTCCTGCTGCTATGGCCATTCCCGTTCCCACCTCAGTGGCCATTCCCATTCCCACCTCAGTGGCCATTCCCAGGAGTTTCTCCCGCCTGTGCCACATCCCAAATCTCACCCCGTGCCCCTTCTCCTGGCAGTGCCCTCCCTTCCCAGCAAAGCCCCAAAGGCAGAGCTGCCTGCCCTGGAATCCCGGGCTGGAATCCCGGGCTGGTGTTTTGGGGAGGGAAACAGTGGGATTAGGATTGCCAAATTCTTGGAATCTGGCCAGGAAGTGTTTTCCTTCCTGAGAAATCAACCCAGCCGGGAAGCAGGGGAGGATGGAGGAGGCTCTGCTTTCCTCAGAGGCGCCACCCCCAAATTCTTTAGGGTTTGGGGATTTTTAGGGATCATTCTACTTGGAATTCCCAAAGCTTGGAGGAACATGGAATTCCCAGATCTTGGAATTCCCACAGCCCAGAATTCCCAAAGCTTGGAGGAGCCTGGAATTCCCAAAGCTTGGAGGAACCTGGAATTCCCAAACTTGGGATTCCCAAAGTTTGGAATTCCCAAAGCCTGGAATTCCCAAACTTGGGATTCCCAAAACTTGGAATTCCCGAAGCTTGGAGGAACCTGGAATTCCCAAACTTGGGATTCCCAAAGCCTGGAATTCCCAAAGCTGGGAATTCCCAGAGCCTGGAATTCCCAAAGCTTGGAGGAGCCTAGAATTCCCAAACTTGGAATTCCCAAAGCCTGGAATTCCCAAAGCTGGGAATTCCCAGAGCCTGGAATTCCCAAAGCTTGGAGGAGCCTAGAATTCCCAAACTTGGAATTCCCAAAGCCTGGGATTCCCAAAACTTGGAATTCCCGAAGCTTGGAATTCCCGAAGCTTGGAGGAACCTGGAATTCCCAAACTTGGGATTCCCAAACTTGGGATTCCCAAACTTGGGATTCCCAAAGCCTGGAATTCCCAAACTTGGGATTTCCAAAACTTGGAATTCCCGAAGCTTGGAGGAACCTGGGATTCCCAAACTTGGGATTCCCAAATCTTGGAAGAGCCTGGAATTCCCAAACATTTCTTGTTTGTCTGCAGGGTGCGCTTTCAGGAATGGTTTTAGAAAAACAAATTATTTAAGGGTTTTATGTTATCCTTAACCAGGCAACCAGTACAACATTTGATTTCCAAATCTTGATTATCTGCTCTGTTCTTGCAGCTAAAATTTTTAAAAACTCCATAAAACGAACCAATGCAGCTTTTTTGTCTTATTTTACAAATTTGGCAGTGTGTGAACTTGAGGGTTTTTTTTTTTTTTTGCTTTTGCTTTGTATTTTGAGAAAAATCGCTTCTTAAAAGAAATCTCTTGAATTTTGCTTTAATTTTTAAAATTAAGGAGTCATGGTGACACTTGTCAGGGAGCCATGGGGCTGCTGGGAGTAGAAATACAAAATTCAGGTTTTTTTGCACAATTTCTGTGTCATGGTTTGAACCCATCAAAATCTCTGAGTTCTGTGTTCGGATCTTCCAGCTAAAACTCAATTTATATCACTGAGCCCACAACAAAAAATTTAAAATAGGGATGATTTGATGATTTTTCCTTGAGGTTGGATTGATCCTGACACGTCACAATTTGATTTTTTCACCTGCTGAAATGTCACAATTTGATTTTTTCACTTGCTGAAACGTCATAATTTGATTTTTTTCACCTCTCCTGCTAAAGAACCTGAAATGAGGATTTTTTGATGTGATGAATTTGGGATTTTTTTTAGGATCAGCACTAATTTGGGATTGTTAATGATGGATTAACTCCAAATTTGGGGGAATTGGTTGGCCTTGAAATAAAAATTGTGGTTTTATTACCCCTGAGAAGGGAAATCCAGACTGTTTTCTTCTGGCAAATGCTGCATCAGGAAAATTTTTAATTTTTAAACCATTTTAAAAAATTTTAACAAATGCCTGGAAGAGGATTTTCCATCTCCTGGCTTCTCTCAGTGAAAACTAAATTTAATTCCTAATTAAATTCCCTTCGTGACCTAATTCCAGCAGGTTTTTGGGACTGGCACCTCAAGCCACCTCAGTGAGGTTTAAAAACTCATTTTTAATTTACCACAAGCAATTAAAAAAGAAAAAAATAAATCTTAATTTTGGGAGGTGAAATATTGGTAGAATTAAGAATTTCTGGGACTGGCTTTTATGGGTGCACACCTGAGGGTTGAAAAAGCCACTTAGGAATGATTTGTGTGATAAATCTGAATTTATTTCATGAAATGAAGCTGGGAGAATTTCCTACCTCACACCACACTGGGTTAGGAAATAAAAACAATATTCCAAATAATTCTATTCCAAATAAACACACTGATGTTTATTGGGAATAGTTTCAATTTAACCAAAAACTCATCGTGCCTGCACGTGTTGCCACCACTAATTAAACAAAATAAATTTGAGTTGGATGATGAAAACTTGCTGATTTCTGTCACAATTTAGTAAAAAAATAGTGAATTTTGACGTAATTTGGGCTGGTTTGCAGATTTAGATTCCTTGTGGTTCCATTTCTGATCTGCTGCTGATTTAAGTAAAATATAAAACAGCCCTGGTTTTATATTGTTATTTCTATTAATAATAGTTATATTTGTATTATTTCTATTATTTTTATTTTGAAAATTTAAAAATTAAATTCAGATAAGCACACCTTATCTCCAACATATATTAATTTATATTATTTTTATTATTTTTGTTTTATTTTTATTTATAAATTGAAAGAAGCACACCTTATCTCAAAAATATATTAATATTTATATTATTTTTCTTTTTTTTTTTTTTTTGATTCAGAAATTGAAAAAATCCAGAAGGGTGAGACAACAAAGAAGGATGAGGAGGAGAATTACCTGGATTTATTTTCCCACAAGAATATGAAACTGAAGGAACGAGTTCTGATCCCTGTCAAGCAATACCCCAAGGTGAGAGCCTGAAAAAAACAACAAAATCTTTGAAATTTTCTTATTTCAGTGGGATTTTGACTGGCAAAGTAGCAACAGGAATTAAATCTTCATTTTTCACCAAAATTCAAGATATTTCTTTTAAAAAAGGAAGGAGTTGGTTTGATTCTCTGCAAGCCTGCAGGGTTTTATTTGTAATAAATTGAATTTTTCTAATATCTTGGGATAAGTGGTGGGATCTTGGATTGCTGGAACAGAGAATTCTGTGTGGAGGTTTTTTTAGTGTTTTTTTTTTTATATTTAACTCCTTAAAATTTGCTGGAAAGCTGCTGCAGAGTTGATGTTGGGATTGAAACACTTCATTTAGCTGGATTTTTCTGCTGGGGCTTTTATTTTTCATGAAAAGAAAGGTTAGAATCTTGAATTTTCCTTTTGAAACAACTTTAATTTTCCTTTTGAAAGTGGAATTTTCCTTTTGAACTTTAAGTTTTCCTTTTGAACCAACTTGAATTTTCCTTTGAACCAACTTGAATTTTCCTTCTGAAAGTTAAATTTTCTTTTTGAACCTTGAATTTTTCTTTTGAACCAACTTGAATTTTCTTTTTGAAAGGTAAATTTTCCTTTCAAATCTTGAATTTGCCTTTCCAAACTTGAATTTTCCTTTTGAACCTTGAATTTTCCTGTGCATTTTTTTTTTGTGAGGTGAGGAGAAAATTAAAAGTGATTTTTGTTTTTTTTTGTCAACTGCCAGAAAATTCAGAAAAAAATTGTTGGTGTTTTTGAGCCCTGGAGCTGATTTGTGTTTTTACTGTTTGTGTGTGGGTTTTTTTTCTTAATTTCCAGTTTAATTTTGTTGGGAAGATTTTGGGACCCCAAGGCAACACCATTAAGAGACTTCAGGAAGAAACTGGTGCTAAAATCTCTGTACTGGGGAAAGGTTCCATGAGAGACAAAGCCAAGGTAAGAGAAAACAAAATTCCATTTATGGTGTGAGAATTAAAGCATTTTATTCAAAATTAAACTAGAAAAAACTTCAAGGAAAGATTGAATTAAAATTAAATTACTTTTAATTAAATTTTAAATTAAAATTAAATTTAAAATTAAAATTAAATCTGTTATTTAATTAGAACTGAAAAGTTCGAATTAAAATTAAAATGTAAAAAATTACAATTTTTAATTAGAATTAAAAAGTTGTTAAAATAAGGATTATTCTCCTGAAGAGCCATTCACTGAAAGGATATTTTTCCCCCCTCTATAAAAAGATAAAAATCCCTTTTTTAGCTGCTCCCTCTGAAATCGTTAAATTTTTCTGGTTCACTGGAGATGTTGGAGCAATGTGATAGTTTTTGGTGAATCACAAATTACCAGAAGGGGGTTTTAAACAGCAAAAAAGAATAAAATAAATACAATAAAAATGGTACGAATAAAACTTCAAAAATGAGAAATAAAATAAATTTAAAATTTAATAAAATAAAAATAATGAAAATAAAATTTAAAAAACTAATTCAATGAAATTAATACAATGAAATGTCAAAACTAAAATTAATTTTAAAAATAATAAAAATAAAATTAAAAAATAAATTAAATAGAAATAATATAAATAAAAATTTAATAAAATAAAAATAATGAAAATAAAATGTAAAAAATAAAACTAATCATATAAAAATAGTAAAAATAAAATTTTAAAAAATGAGTGATTTTAAATTGAATAAAATTAAAATAATAAAAATAAATTGTAAAAAATAAAATAAAGAGTAAAAATAACATGAATAAAATAAAAATAGTAAAAAATAAAATTTAAAAATAAAATAAAAATAGTAAAAATAAAATTAAAAGTAAAATAAAATCATAAAAATAAAATGTAAATAATAAAACTGATAAAATAAATATAGTGAAAATAAAATAAAACCAATAATAAAATAAATAAAATAAAAATAATAATAAAATAAAAATAATAAATATTAAATAAATAAAATAAAAATAATAAAAATAAAATTTAAAAATAGTAAAAATAAAATTTAAAAATAAAATACAAATAGTAAAAACTAAATAAAATAAAAATAATAAAAATAAATTAAAAATAAAATAAAAAGGTAAAATTTAGAAATAAAATTTAAAAATAAAGTAAATAAAATAAAAATAATAGAAATAAATTTAAAAATAAAATAAAAATAGTAAAATAAATGTAGAAATAAAATTTAAAAATTGAATAAAATGAAAATAATAAAAATAAAATAAAAATAGTCACAAAAATTAAATAATAATAATAAAAATTAAATACATAAAATAAAAATAAATTTAAATTAAGACAAACAATTAAAACCAACTAAAATGAAGATCAGGATCTCATCTCGGTGTCCCCCAGCCGTACAAGCCCCTGTCAGGCTCTGTCAGGCTCCCTCAGCCCGTTTCCCATCCCTGTCTCGGCTCTCTGTGCTCCCTGCAGGAGGAGGAGCTGCGCAAGGGCGGCGACCCCAAGTACGCGCACCTGAACATGGAGCTGCACGTCTTCATCGAGGTCTTCGGGCCGCCCTGCGAGGCCTACGGCCTCATGGCCCACGCCATGGAGGAGGTCAAGAAGTTCCTGGTGCCTGTGAGTGCCGGCTCCTCCCGTCCCCGGGAGCGCTGCGGGGTGCTGGAATGGTGCTGGGATCTCCAGGGAGCTCTGGGAACCTCTGGGATCTCCAGGGAGTGCTGGGAACCTCTGGGGTCTCCAGGGAGTGCTGGGAACCTCTGGGATCTCCAGGGAGTGCTGGGATGAATCTGGGATCTCCAGGGAGTGCTGGGATGAATCTGGGATCTCCAGGGACCATTTGGAATGGTGCTGGCGTCTCCAGGGAGCTCTGGGATGGTGCTGGGATCTCCAGGGAGCTCTGGGAGACCTTGGAACCTCTGGGATCTCCAGGGAGCTATGGGAACCTCTGGGATCTCCAGGGAGTGCTGGAATGGTTCTGGGATCTCCAGGGACCATTTGGAATGGTGCTGGGATCTCCAGGCATTGCTGGGATGGTTCTGGGATCTCTGGGATCTTCAGGGGCCATTGGGAATGGTGCTGGGATCACTGGGAACTTCTCAGATCTTCAGGGACCTTTTGGAATGGTTCTGGGATCTCCAGGGAGCTCTGGGATGGTTCTGGGATCTCCAAGAAGCTCTGGGATGGTTCTGGGATCTCCAGGGAGCTCTGGGAACTTCTAGGATCTCCAGGAAACTCTGGGATGGTGCTGGGATGACTGGGAACCTCTGGGATCTCCAGGAAACTCTGGGATGGTGCTGGGATGACTGGGAACCTCTGGGATCTCCAGGGACCATTGGGAATGGTTCTGAGATCTCCAAGGATCACTGAGAGGGTTCTGGGATCTCCAGGAAGCACTGGAATGGTGCTGGGATCTCCAGGATCCTCACTGATCTTTATTTTTGTCCTTGTTTCCATGCTTTCTGCAGGATATGATGGATGATATCTGCCAGGAGCAGTTCCTGGAGCTCTCCTATCTCAACGGGGTCCCGGAGCCCAACCGCGGCCGAGGCGGCCCCGGGCGGGGCCGGGGGGCAGCCCCACCTCCCCCTCCTCCCGTGCCAAGGTATTCCCAAAATCCCAGCCTGGGAATGCTGCCTTCCCCCTCCGTTTTTTTCCTTGTTTTCTCTTTCCTCTATAAAAATCCTGAAATACAGAAAAATGTCCCTACCCCACATTGAGCCGATCCACAATTCCCAGCTCTGAAAATGCCCATCCTCAGCAGCTCCTGACCACTTTTCTGTGTGCTCCGCAGGGGCCGTGGGGTTGGTCCTCCTCCTCCTCCTCCTCCTCGGGGTGCCCTGGTGCGGGGAGCCCCGGTGCGCGGGGCCATGGCCCGGGGGGCCGCGCTGGCCCGGGGGGTGCCGCCTCCGCCGGCGGTGCGGGGCGCTCCTGCCCCCCGGGCACGGGCAGCCGGCATCCAGAGGATACCCCTGCCCCCTCCGCCCGTGCCGGAGACATACGAGGAATATGTAAGCAGCCGTTAATTAAGAGGTCATTAACGGGGTGAACGGGAGGGTTGTGGTGGGGTGGGGGTCAGTGGGGTCACCAGGGATCCTTGGGAATGGAGTTGGAGTCACCAGGGATCTGTGGGATCGCCAGGGATCAGTGGGATGGTGCTGGGATCGCCAGGGATTAGTGGGAATGGTGCTGGGATCACCAGGGATCAGTGTGGTCACCAGGGATCCTTGGGAATGGAGTTGGGGTCACCAGGGATCAGTGGGATCCCTGGGAATGGTGCTGGGGTCACCAGGGATCAATGGGATGGTGCTGGGATCACCAGGGATCAGTGGGATCACCAGGGATCAGTGGGAATGGTGTTGGATCACCAGGGATCAGTGTGGTCACCAGGGATCCTTGGGAATGGAGTTGGGGGTCACCAGGGATCAGTGGGACCCCTGGGGATGGTGCTGGGGTCACCAGGGATCTGTGGGATCACTAGGGATCCCTGGGAATGGTGTTGGGATCACCAGGGATCAGTGGGATGGTGTTGAGATCACCAGGGATCACTGGGATGGTGCTGGGATCACCAGAGACCATTGGAATGGTTCTGGGATCACCGGGGACCATTGGGATGGTTCTGGGATCCCACCAACTGCTGGGATGGTGCTGGGATCACCAGAAACCTTTAGGATGGTTCTGGGATCACCAGGGACCATTGGGATGGTGCTGGGATCATCACAAATACTGATACCCCTGAAACTTTGGTTTCTCTTCTCAGCAAAATGGGTTTTTTTCCAACGAAAAATTCAGAGATTGAGGGTTGTAAATGTGTGGTTTGGATGACACAGATTTATGGAATATCCTGGAATCATCCAGCCCAGCTCCTGGCCCTGCACAGACACCCCAAAATCCCACCCTGTGCATCCCTGGGAGCATTATCCTGGAGCTCAGGGGAGCCTGTCCAGTGCCCAGCACCTTCCCCTGATAACAATCCCAGCTCTGCTGGCACATGGATTTATCCCTGGGGATGGAATCATTCCTCTCCTGGCACACGGATTTATCCCTGGGGATGGAATGAGTCCTCTCCTGGCACACGGATTTATCCCTGGGGATGGAATCATTCCTAAGCACCAGTGGGATTCATCCCTTCCCAGCCCTGGGGCTCTCTCTGTGCTGTGCCTGAGCCTTTCCCTGTGGCAGGCCAGGATTTCCAGGCTCCTCTGGAATCTGCTGTGGGTTTGGTTCCGTTTTGCTCCTTCTGTGACACTTTTGTGTCCCCATCCTCGCCAGGGCTACGATGAAACGTACGCAGAGCAGAGCTACGAGGGCTACGAGGGCTACTACAGCCAGGGCCAAGGGTGAGTTGGATTTCCTCTTCCCAAAGGAATGCTGCATGGCCATTTCCCCTCTTTTTTTTCCCCCCTTTTTCCCCCCCCTTTTTTTTTCCCCTCTTTTTTTTTTTTTTCCTCTTTTTTTTCCCTCTTTTTTCTCCCCCTCTTTTTTCTCCCCCTCTTTTTTCTCCCCCTCTTTTTTCTCCCCCTCTTTTTCTCCCCCTCTTTTTTCTCCCCCTCTTTTTTCTCCCCCTCTTTTTTCTCCCCCTCTTTTTTCTCCCCCTCTTTTTTCTCCCCCTCTTTTTTCTCCCCCTCTTTTTTCTCCCCCTCTTTTTTCTCCCCCTCTTTTTTTCCCCCCTCTTTTCCCCATTTTTTCGCCTTTTTTTCCCTTCTCCTTTTTTCCCCCTCCTTTTTTCCCCTGCTCTTTTAAATCCCATTTAAAGTCAATGGAAGCACTGCTGAGCTGTAAATTCTGCTGGAATCTGGGGGATGACACAGAGCATCTTGTCTTTTTCTGTGTGTAACCACCTCGTTGCTTTTCCAGGGATACAGAATATTATGATTATGGACACGGGGAGGCACAGGAAACCTATGAAGCTTATGGTATGTCTGGGAATTCTGGGATAAGGAAGGGGTTGGGAATTGCTTGTGGTCAATTTTGCACTTTTCCAATGTCTGGATAAAAAAATGAGGAGAACCTCGTGGTGTTTTTATTTAGGTCTGAACAACCTCTGTGGATTTAGGTTCTTCTCAATCTTGATTGTCTCAAAGATGATACTTAAAAAAAAAATCAATTTTTAAACTCTGGAAATGTCTTCGTTTCCTTGTAGCTTTAGAATATTTCAGGTCTGGATTTCCACCCACAGCACTTGTGTTTTCATGGGCTGGGTTTTATGTGGTTCCATCTGCTTCCTTCATCCTCACAATCCCTGATCCTGACTCCCAAAAGCTCTCCTTAAAATTCCACGTGGCTGGAACCAGTCCCTTCCGCAGCTGAGTGAGTGCAGGTGGTGACATTCCTGACCAGCTGGAGATCCCTGGGGTTTGGGAATTCATGTCCTGGCTGAATAAAGGAAGCAGAGTTGTTGTCTGCTGCTCACCTTGCTCCAGGTTTAAATCCAAATCCAGGAGCATCGAAGTGTTCCCTGCTCCAGGTTTAAATCCAGGAGCCTCAGGACCTTCCAGGTTTAAATCCAAATTCAGGAGCATCGAGGCATTCCCTGCTCCAAGTTTAAGCCCAAACCCAGGAGCCTCAGGGTGTTTCTGCTCTAAGTTTAAATCCAAACCCACGAGCCTTAAGATGTTCTCTGCTCTAGATTTAAATCCAAACCCAGGAGCCTTAAGGTGTTCCCTGCTCCAGGTTTAAATCCAAACCCAGGAGTATCAAGGCATTCCCTGCTCCAGGTTTAAATCCAGGAGCCTCAGGACCTCCCCTGCTCCAGGTTTAAGCCCAAATTCAAGAGCCTATGGACTTTCTCTGCTCCAGTTTTAAGTCTAAATCCAGAAGTATCAAGGTATTCCCTGCTCCAGATTTAAATCCAGGAGCCTCAAGGTGTTCCCTGCTCCAGGTTTAAATCCAGGAGCCTCAAGGTTTTCCCTGTTCCAGATTTAAATCCAGGAGCCTCAAGGTTTTCCCTGTTCCAGATTTAAATCCAGGAACCTCAAGGTGTTCCCTGCTCCAGGTTTAAATCCAGGAACCTCAAGGTGTTCCCTGCTCCAGGTTTAAATCCAGGAACTTCAAGGTGTTCCCTGCTCCTAATTTAACCCCAAACCCAGGAGCCTCAGGACCAGGTTTAATCCCAAACTCAGGAGCCTCAGGACCTTCCCTGCTCCAAATTTAATCCCAAACCCAGGAGCATCAGGACCAGGTTTAATCCCAAACCCAGGAGCCTCAGGACCTTCCCTGCTCCAAATTTAACCCCAAACCCAGGAGCCTCAGGACCAGGTTTAATCCCAAACCCAGGAGCATCAGGACCAGGTTTAATCCCAAACCCAGGAGCCTCAGGACCTTCCCTGCTCCAAATTTAACCCCAAACCCAGGAGCCTCAGGACCAGGTTTAATCCCAAACCCAGGAGCCTCAGGACCTTCCCTGCTCCAAATTTAACCCCAAACCCAGGAGCCTGCCAGGATGTTTTCCTCCATCTGCTCCCAGGAGCTGCTGCCTGTGCCTGGCTTTGCTGAGCCTGTGTCCCCCCGAGCACAAAGAGCTTTTTGTGCCTCCTGCTCCCACGGTGCCCTTTGCACACTTGGCGCAGATAAACTGATCTGTTCATCCCCTACAATTTCCTCTGGTCTCTGCTCCTCTGCAAACAGAGTTAAATCAGAGACAGATCACCCAGCTGGGCTGGAGAGAGTGGGAAGGGGTTTGGTGTCTGGGGAGGTTTGCCCAGAACTGGCAGGGGCAGCTCACAGGGGTGGGTGTTACAAGCAAATTCTGATTTTTTCATGGGATTCTGGAGTGGTTTGGGGTGAAAGGGGCCTTAAAGGTCACCCCTGCCATGGGCAGCACATTTTCACTGTGCCAGCACGGCGTGGGCAGTGCTGGCAGGTGGAGGCTGTCTGCTCCTGAGCTCTTCTGGGGGACTGTTTTGAGGGGTCAGGAGCTGGTTTTGGGGGGTCAGGAGCTGGTTTTGAGGGGTCAGGAGCTGGTTTTGAGGGGTCAGGAGCTGGTTTTGGGAGTCAGGAGCTGGTTTTGAGGGGTCAGGAGCTGGCTTTGGGGGGTGAGGAGCTGGTTTTGGGGGGTCAGGAGCTGGTTTTGGGGGGTCAGGAGCTGGTTTTGAGGGGTCAGGAGCTGGGTTTGGGGAGCTGTTTTGGGGGAGCTGTATTGGGGGATCAGGAGCTGGTTTTGGGAGCTGTTTTCAGGGACCTCTTTTTGAGGAGCTGTTTTTGGGGAACTGTTTTCAGGAGCTGGTTTTGAAGAGCTGTTTTCAGGAGCTGTTTTGGAGGATCAGGAGCTGTTTTTGAGGAGCTGTTTTCAGGAGTTAGTTTTGGGGAGCTGTTTTGGGGAATCCGGAGTTTGGGGAGCTGTTTTTGGGGAACTGTTTTGGGGCTCAGGAGCTGGTTTTGGGGAGCTGTTTTGGGGGATCAGGAGCTGTTTTTGGGGAGCTGTTTTGGGGGCTCAGGAGCTGTTTTCAGGAGCTATTTTGGGGGCTCAGGAGCTGGTTTTGGGGAGCTGTTTTGGGGGCTCAGGAGCTGTTTTTGGGGAGCTGTTTTGGGGGCTCAGGAGCTGGTTTTGGGGAGCTGTTTTGGGGGCTCAGGAGCTGTTTTGGGGAGCTGTTTTGGGGACCCAGGAGCTGTTTTGGGGAGCTGTTTTGGGGGCTCAGGAGCTGTTTTTGGGGAGCTGTTTTGGGGGCTCAGGAGCTGGTTTTGGGGAGCTGTTTTCAGGATCTATTTCGAGGTGCTCTCTCACCGATCTCCCCTGCCATCTCCCACCCTCACTTCCCCACCTCCCCCCGCCTCTCCCAGCCCATTTTTACATTTTTTGGGGTTTTTCCTCCCCTCCCTCCATCCCACCCCTGACTTTTCTCTCCTTTTCCCCACAGGCCAAGATGACTGGAATGGAACCCGGCCCTCCCTGAAGGCCCCCCCAGCCCGGCCAGTCAAGGGGGGCTACAGGGAGCACCCCTACGGCCGCTACTGACCCCAAAACGGGGCCAAAAATCCCAATTTAGGAGCAAACCCTTGTTACTGGTTCTTGTATCTCCCGGGATTCCCGTTGCTTTACCCACAGCAGACAAGTAATTGTCTCCCTGTTTTTCTTCCTGGCCCTTTTTTTCCTTCCACTCCATCCTCACCCTGTATGTAGTGACTTCTCCAGGTGAATTTCAATAGATTTAGAGGGGAAAAATTCTTAATTTTTATTATTTTTGGGGGGGTTTGTTGTTTTTTATTTTTTTGGAATTTTTTTTTGTGTTCTTGGTTTTTTTTTGGGGGGGAGGTTTTGATTTTTTTCTTCTTCTTCAGTGTGTAGATGGCTTTTCTTTCTTTGTCGTTTTAGGTTAAAAAAAAACAAACAAAAAAAACCAAACTGTACCTTTTTTAAGGGGTAAAAAAAAAAAAAAAAAGACAAAAAAAACCACCAAACTAAAAACCAAGTTTAAAAATGTTAGTTTCCAAAAAGTGACGTGCTTTGCTTAGTTCTGAAATTAAGGTTTTGTTAAAAGTTTTAAAGTTTGTTTTAAAGGAACCCATTAAAGGTTGTAGTTGCAGAATCCCAAAGTAGGCTACATTTCAAAATTCAGGGTTATTTTTTTAAGATTTAAAATCATAATGTAACAGTAGTGGCTGCCACCATTAAAAAAAAAAACAAAAAACCAAAAAAAACCCAAAAAATAACTTCAGATGCCAAACCTTTAAAAGGAGATTGCTGGTGAATCTTGAAGTTTAAATTTTAACCCAAAGGATCCTCCAAACAAATTAAATAGCATTTTCTAAAGAGAATTGACTTAAAAGGAAAAAAATTAGGTTGGTAAAAAATTGACTTTTCTTATGTGGATTTTGAAATCTAGCCCCCCGTGCAGTGTTGAGATATGCTTGGGAATATTTTTCCAGTGGAAAGGGATTTTAGTTTAATTCTAAATGAACAATTCTTAAGGGAAAAAAAAAACCAAAATATGGCTCAAATTGCCCAGTGTTTGATAGAAAGAATATTCCATGATAGGCCTGTAAAATTCACATTTTTTGTTGCCCTTTGGGGCAGAAAATCTGCTGAAAATTCCAAACTCACCCCAAAAAAAAATCCCAATTTCAAGCAGTCCCAGCCACTTCAAGTGTATCTCAGCACGAGCTTTGCATAAAAAGGGACACTGCAGCTGTAAAAAAACAAACAAAAAAAAACCAAAACAAAAAACCAGACAAAACAATCCCAAATTTCACTTTGTACATAAGATAAAGTCCTAATTGGATTTGTTACGCTGTCCTCCCACTCTGTTCTGGAAGAGAAAAATGCTACATTTTGTGTAAAGTCTGCCTAACTAGGTAGCTCAAAACGTGTCAAAATGTCTGTCTCAATCTGTCAATAAAGTTTAGTCCTTTTTTAATCAAAGTAAATGTGATGAATTGTCATTTGTTTTTGGAGGTTTTTCTTTTTTTTCAAACAACTTTAAATCCATGCTAAACATAATTTCTCTTTTTTATTTATTATTATTATGATTATTATTTATTTTTAAACCATGGAGGCATTTCTAAAAAAATAATGGTGGTTTTTTTGGTAATTCTCGTGACAAAAAAAAAATTTATTTTAAAAAATATATGAAAAAGACCCCCAAAAAAATTGTTTTTCACCCCCTGGAAGTTGCTGAAAGCAGTTTTGAGGCAGAAATCTGAATTTGGAAAGCATTTGATGGTTCTTTGCTTGATGATTCAGATTTCAGGTGGCCTCAGAGAATATTCCAGAGGTTTAAGTAGGAATGCTGAGAATTCCAAGGAAGTTGCTTTACCTCTAACCCCCACCTTGGCTAAGATGATGTTTCCAAGCAGCTTTTCCTTGGAAAAACCACTTTAAAAATAATTTTTTTTTTTTGTTGGTGGACAGTGCTGCAGCTGCTCCTTAAATCCTTTCGGAGAGGGTGTGGACATAGAGATATTTCATATATTTCTATTTAAAAATCAATGCTTCTTGTTTTGTTATTTCCCATCCAACAGATGAATTTGGAATTTTAGGGGGAGAGGATTAAACTGCTCGGGGGTGAAAAATAGAATTTTAGGGAAAAAAAACAAAAAAACAAAAAACTGCAGCGCATGAACTGAGGGGAATATTTAAAAATAATTAAAAAAAAAAAAACACACACAAAAGTTGTATTTGTAGATTGTTATTAAAGTGCAAATAACTGAATTTTCAACACTGGTTTGGAGTCAGCTTTCAGGGCATAATGTGATGAAAAGATCAGCCTATGCCCCCCCTTTTAAAGGAAAATTATCAGCAGGAGAAATCAGGATGTGTAAACCGCAAAGCCCAAAAAAAGGTAACCTAAATGTCTGATTTTAATATAGCACATTTCTCTTTTCCATAAACCTGTGACGTAAACTTTTTACCCAGCTGACCCTTCAGATGTTAATTTAATGTAAAAAGGGAAAAAAAAAAAAACAAACAACCCAAAAGAAAAAAAAAATGTTTTAAATATAAACGTTTAAACCGACCCACGTGGCATAAATTAACAATAACTTTTAATAATGTGCCCTTGGCAGATGCACTGGGATGGAATGTGGGCCAAAAGGAATCTTTAAATATCCTGGATTTTTTAAAGGATAAACGATGTAAAATGCACATGAATCCAAGCTAGTCCTGCTACTGCCAAAACAACAAAAAAAAAACCAAAAAATAACCCCCAAATTCTGCTCAGTTGTTTGAAAATACCAATTTTTAGCCCCCCCAGAATTGCTGTTTCCTGTGAAATGTCCATAGCTCAGCTGAAGTTGCATGTTTTTCCTTCATGTGTAATTGCATGCAGGAATCTCTTTCTTTCTTTTCCCTCTTTTTTTTTTATTTTTTAATTTTTTTAATTTTTTAATCTCTTTGTCAGGATCCTCACTTTTTTTTTCTTTGATTTGCAGGAATTTTGGGGCTGTGACTCAACGGGGTGAGGAGGAGGAGGAGGAGCAGGGCCAGCACCAGCTGGGTGAGTTTTTGGGGATTTTTTTTTTTTTACAACCCCTTGTTGAGTTCCCAACGTGGGGGTGGCACCATCTGAGCTGCTAAATTCCGATTTTTCCTTGGATCCACACCAAAAAAATAAAATAAAATAAAAAGGGGAAGCTGCTTTCTTCAGGTCACAGCGTGGAGGAGGCTCCTGAGCTGAGTTTTTAGGGGATTTTAAGGGATTTTGGGATGCAGAGATTTCATGGAATCCCAGGCAGGCCTGGAAGGTGCTTCCCAAATTTGGGATTTATTCCTTTATGCTCCAGGAGCAGGGCTGGGTCTGGGAATGGCTCAGGAATTCCCAAAACCCAGGAAAATTCCAGGCTGCAGATCTTTTCTTGCCACTTCCACTTCTCATCCACAGATTCTGGAATGGGGATGTGGCTGCTGGGATTGGTTTTTTATGGAATCCTGCCAGGGAATCTCCCACTGGGATTTGTGGGGTTCAATTTCACCAGTTCCCATTCTGCTTTTTGGGGTTCAATTTCACCAATTCCCACTGTGCTTTTTGGGGTTCGATTTCCCAATTCCTTCCCCCATCCCAAATTGCTCCAGCGCTTCCAGGGATGGAGCAGAGGAGATGCTTCCCTAAAAAAAAAATTAAATTCTCTTTGCTGCGCGGCTGGGAGTGGTTGTGGGGTGATCATGTCAGCAAAGGACACAATTCCTTCCCTATTTCCCTGTGGGATTCCTTTGGGAACAGCAAAATGCTGCCCCTGAGCTCCACAAATAAAAAGCACCAAGGAATCCAGCCTTGAAATGCTGGAAAAGCCCAAATCACCAAAGAATCCAGCCTTGAAATGCTGGAAAAACCCAAATCCTCAAGGAATCCAGCCTTGAAATGCTGGAAAAGCCCAAATCCTCAAGGAATCCAGCCTTGAAATGCTGGAAAAACCCAAATCCTTAAAGAATCCAGCCTTGAAATGCTGGAAAAGCCCAAATCACCAAAGAATCCCCCCTTGAAGTGCTGGAAAAGCCCAAATCACCAAAGAATCCCCCCTTGAAATGCTGGAAAAGCCCAAATCCAAGCTGAGCAGGGGGAATAAAAGGATAAATTTAATTTTATAGTGGATCATAAAGCTCCCAAAGGAGCTCCTCTTACCTCAGGAGCATCAGGAACTGGGAAGAGCCAATTTGTGGGGATGCTGCAGCAGGGAGTTCACCCTGAATCCCTGCACTTGAAAAGTGAATTTCCCTCCTGCCAGGAGGGAAATGATAACAGGCCTGGATTTGTTCTTATCAAATCCATCTTCATTTCCAGTGCAATTGGAACATCAATTTTTTGGTTTTTTATTTTTTTATGGCAATGCACCAATCTTTCCCATTTCTCTCCTAATAGGCCCAGCTTTTAGATCAAGTGGAAAAGGTTTGATTGAGAATCATCTCTTAGGAAGCCATTTATTCCCAAATGGATCTGGTGATGCTGCCTTTGGAATATCCCAGCTCGTGCCTTGCTTTTTGTGGGATGCTGATGGCAAAGGATGGAAATGTGAATATATTGAAATCACTGGATGTGCTGGGAGTTTTTTGCAAACATTCCTTGGATCAGACAGCTCCCTCCCTCCTTCCTTCCCTCTCCCAGCACTTTTCCAGGCAGGATTTAACCCTGGAGGCTGCCAGAGCCCACCTGAGATCCCAAAATAACCCCTCAGCATCGGAATCAGCCAAACATTCCAGGCTGATGCAGGGATTTGGGAGGGATGGAGATTCCTGGGAGTCTTGAGTCACCTCAGGAACCTGGAGAACCTTCCCTTTCCTGCTGGAATTCTACTCCCAAGTGCCAGGGATCTTCTCCTCCCCCTGTTTTCCCAAAGGGCTCATCCACATCTTGTCATTTGTAGGAATTTGGGCAAGACCCCCCCCAGCCCAGAGAAAATCCCCCGTTGTTCTTGGCTCTGTTCACATCTCCTCTCTGGAAGTGTTTCCCCAACCAAATCCTGGTTTTGTCAGGAGAAACTCGGCTCTGGGAGCGCCCTTCTGCTCCGTGGCTCAGCATTCCCATTTTCCCAGAATGGGAACAACTTCTCCAGCCTCCAGTGCAGCCCTGGGGTACCAAACCCCTGCTCTGAGCTGCCACAAACCTGGATTTTGTCCTCGGTGGGCAGTGAATCCCAGGAAAACCCTCCAGCTGCAATTCCAGAGGTGTCCCCAGCAGCTTTTCCTCATGCCCTGTCTATTCCTTCCCTCTGTTTTCCATGTTCTGTTTGGATTATTTCAATAAAGCCAGTGGCTCCCAGCTTCATTCCATGGAATCATGGATTCAGGGAATGCTCTGGGCTGGGAGGGACCTTCAAGCTGCTCCAGGGCCGCCTTCCACCATCCCAACACTCCGGGGATGGGAATTTCACAGCTTTTCTGGGATTTTTTCCCCTCTCAGCCTCACTGAAAGCGCAGTGCTTTGATCTTTTTACCTCCAAAATTCCAGAGTTGGAGAGCGCAGCTGCATTCCCTGTCCACGTTTGAACAAATGGGAATTTTCTGCGGGAGACAAACAGCTGGAATGTGCATTTTTACCTCCTTGACCCCTCCTGCTGCTCTCCCAAAGAAAATTTGGGATCAGGGAGGTTCCAGCAGCCTGGAGAGACCCAGGAGGAGCGGAGAGGAGAGCAGGGAATGCTCCAGCTGGAGCTTTTGGGGAGGAAAATTTCTCAGGGAATTTGTCCTTCATGGATCAGGAATTCCTCCTCCATGGATCAGGAAATTCCACCTTCATGGATCAGGAATTTCTCTTTCATGGATCAGGAATTCCTCCTTCATGGATCAGGGAATTCCTCCATGGATCAGGGAATTCCTCCTTCATGGAAATTCCACCTTCGTGGATCAGGGAATTCTTCCCTCATGGATCAGGAAATTTCTCCTTTATGGATCAGGAAATTCCCCCTTCATGGATCAGGAATTTCTCCTCCATGGATCAGGGAATTCCTCCATGGATCAGGGAATTCCTCCTTCATGGAAATTCCACCTTCATGGATCAGGGAATTCCTCCCTCATGGATCAGGGAATTTCTCCTTTATGGATCAGAAATTCCTCCTTCATGGATCAGGGAATTCCTCCTTCATGGATCAGGGAATCGTGAATCAGGGAATTTCTCCTTCATGGATCAGGAATTTCTCCTTCATGGATCAGGAATTTCTCCTTCATGGCTTAGGAATTCCTCTTCATGGATCAGGAAATTCCACCTAAATGAATCACGGAATTCCTCCTTCACGAATCAGGGAATTTCTCCTTCATGGATCAGGAAATTTCTCCTCCATGGATGAGGGAATTCCTCCCTCATGGAGCCTGCAGCACCTGGGATGAGCTGTGGGTGGTGAGGGGCAGGAATTCCTGCAGGCTGGACAGTGTCCATGAAGATGTTTTTCCCTCATTTTTCCCTCATTTTTCCCTCATTTTCCCCTCATTTTTCC